GCGTGAATATAGCGGGTCGGAGGTTGTATGATAAGTCGATGGGTAGGGCTGGAAACGGATCACGGGGGTTCGAGGCGTTGGGTAGAGTGGGTTCGTCAGAGGAAAGCGATGACTCTGTTAAGTCTTCTGAGCTAGCATTGAGGATAGGTTTAGGACAGATGGGTGTGAAGGCGAAAGGTTTGAGGAATGATACAGGTGCACAATAGATGTCCTGGATGGGTCTTGTTGGCGTTGATTCGTTGTCTGACGAGCTTGATGAGTCTTCTTCTATGTTCTTTTTGGAAGCTAGGATGGGTCTCGACAGGGCCAGCGCAGGTGGCATTTCTTCTTGTGCACGAGGTTGCTGCGCGTTAGGGTGGCAGTACTTTGATATGGCTGGAAGGGGGTGGTCCAAAGACCGAGTTTTCTAAACAGGGAAGATCAGTGGATCAGAGAGGATCAACGGATGAGACTTTGGGTGCAAGGGGTTGCTCGAGAACAATTCCCCTCGCAGTGGGCTCCAAATATGTAACGGCTGCTATGATTTCGATGGGGAATTAGTAGTATGGAGGCGCTCTTTCTTTGAATGTAGAAAGACTTGAGAATATAACAAGCTTTTTTTGATAGGATGGAGTGCATTCTTGGAGCGGGAGTTCAACGGATTGATTCTGCTGAAGTACGAGCGTACATTTTGCGGTATATAAGTGTTTGGGATCCAAACGATTAAAGCGAGAGTCGAGTAGGTAGCATGTGGAACTAGACAAGGAGTCGGCGAGACACGGTGACGATGGAATGAGAGCACATGGTACAGTAAGGGAGGAGAGTAAGAAGGAATGTATCCGCATAACTCGGATGTGAAGAGTTGAACTCTTCGCATAAATGAGTCACGTGGCTGTGTTCTACTTTGTAACAAGTTCGAACTGGAACCTTGTCCAGGAAATGACAAGGAACACTGAACGGATCAGGCGAAAGTAACAGGACGAAACTGTGGATTCTTTTGAGCGTTGTACTAATGCATAGGTGATGGTAGGTAGGAGACCCGAGTCTAATCCTCGTAGTACAAGGTTCGAGGAATATAAGGGGATGCGTCACGTGGAGTATGATAATGTAAGCAAATGGTAAGCAATCGGCTTACACCCTTCCTTTCTCCGAAGCATTTCCTACGGTCCTAGGTCTAATTGTCATTTGTTAACTTCTGCGCGTGATGCAGCTCAATCTTCTATAGCATGTTGCGCTTCATGCGGCTTGTTTTCATCAGACGATACTTGAGGGATTGCGTGATGCGAGTTTTCTTTGACGGATGTTGTGATTGTTGAAGGTATGTTGTGAGATTGACGGTATTCGGATAACACAGCAGTGTCTTCTAGCTCTTTGCCAGGAACCCAAACATCTGCTTCAGGTCCATAGCCGCGCCATCGAACGAGATATTGATGTCCACGTCTGCGAGTTCTGCAATCAAGAAGTTTCTCTATTTCCCACTCTTCTGTTCCGTTTTGTGTAACCACCATCAGGAAAAACTGTTCCTCTATATAGCTCTATATAGTCACAATAGTGCCCCAACTAACCATAGAATCTATAGAATGGTGCTTATTATAGAGCCCTATATGGCTCTCTAAAGTTGCTATAGTTGAAATATACCACAACTATTATAGCTATTATAGCTCTTATAGGCTCTTATAGCTCTTATAGCTCATCTTAATAGCTGTTTGTTGCCATGATAGTGTACTCAAAACTCAAAAAAAAGCGAAAATTTCAAATTATATTTCAAGTACTACAATACATGTAAACTACTAACTACAAAACAAGCAAAAATGCGAAAATTACAGGAGGAAGGGGCAAGAGAACTAGAAGGAAGAATCAGGGAGGAAAGATGAATACAATAAAAAGAAAGACTTACCAAATACTGAAAATTGCGAAAATTATTGAAGTAAGAGGAGGGAAGGGAGCTAGAACGAGAGGATCAGACAGAAGGAAGAGAGAGTCAGAGAAAAAGACTTGCCAAATGGTCAAAAATGCGAAAATAATTGGGGGGAGGAGGAGTAGGAGGGAAGAGAGCTAGATGGAGAGGGTTAGAAAAAAGATTAGTCAAATAGTCAAAAATGCGAAAATTGTGGAGGGAGACTTACCAGAGTTCAAAGCACCAACACCAGCACCAGCACCAACAACATCAACACCAAGACAGGGATAAAGAAGGAAGAAGAAGAGAAAAGAGGCAAAAACTCGAAAATTGTAAGAGAAATATGGAGGATAATCTAATGAGGGGACAGTGGGGGGGAAGGAAAGAATGGGAAAAGACTTGTTGGTTGACCGCATTTTTGCTTACATAAGCTGTGCCAAACAAAGCCTGTGACAAGCAACTTGACCGTGGGAACTTTTTCGATAAAAAATCAAAGTTGTAGTCCTTGTCAAGGGAAGTCTATCCATAGTCTAATGACTTCAATAGGTTAAGATCCTAGCGAGTCATAAGGAAAATACTCGAAATTGAAGGGTTCAAAAGTGTTAAGGTACACCATATTTATGTAAGCAAAAATGCGAAAATTCACCTTATGTGTATTCAAAATCCTAATGCTAACAGTCAAAATGCCACAATTTCATTGTCTTTTTCTCACTGTTATAATCCTAGTCCTATTAACCAAAAACTCGCCAAGTCTTGTGTTCTTTCTTGAATCCTTCAATTTCAAGTGTTTTCCTTGTGACTTACTAGGATCTTAACCTATTGAAGTCATTAGACTATGGATAACTGCCCCAAGTTGTCAAGGACTACAACTTTGATTTTCATCGAAAAAGTTCCCACGGTCAAGATGCTTTCTTGAACCCTTCAATTTCGAGTATTTTCCTTATAACTCACCAGGATCTTCACCTATTGAAATCATAAGATTATGGATAGACTGCCCTTGTTAAGGACTACAACTTTGTTTTTCATTGAAACAGTTCCCACGGTCAAGTTGCTTTCTTGAATACCTCAATTTCGAGTTTTTCCTTATCACTCACTAGGATCTTTACCTATTGAAGTCATATTCCCACGGTCTACCAGGGTCACTCAATATCATAGCCACTAGTAGCTACTGCCATATTTATTGAAGTTGTTAAAGCTAGGAATAAAATGTGTGGTTGCTATAGAGCTCTTTATAGAGCTATTATAGCCCAAAAAGCTGTTATAGTTGGGCCCTTTTGGACCACTGTCTATAAAGCTCTATATCGCAGAACAGTTTTTCCTGATGCAGGTCCTGACTGCCATCAATGTTTTGCAACTAATTATTTTCCAGGTGCCAAATTTGTTGTGCCCCAGTGGCCAACATACCCCACTAATACATACATATAGCGATCTACAGACCAAGCAGACTGACTGCTATCAACGTATTGCAACTAATCGTTCACCAGGCGCCAAACTTGTGCGTGGCGCTTTTATCATTAGTCTGATTCTTCCTAGAGACACTTACATCAAGGATTCCGCCCAGCGCTGATACCTCTGAGTCTTTGATGCCATGGAGACTATTCCTTGCTCAAACGCAAGGCATGCTCTTTCCTCCGCAACATCACAGTGTTACAACTTGGATAGTTCTTGCGTAACTAATCCAATAAAGGAGTTCAAATGTTATGACGTTCTGTTCAGATGTATGAGGGGCTCTCCCTCTATACAAAGTTCGAGTATAGGCTAGTCTCTTTACAAGAGCTAGATCGGAATCAAGTATCTTCCTTAGAAGATGATCAAGTATCAGAAAGAACGAAGTAGATTCAAGTTAGAGAATACAAGCGTAGCTACTGCAATATTTATAATGGACAGGGGAGGCACGGACCAGGCCGACTATGGAAGTGAAAGGAGTCAAGAAGAATGTCAAAGAACTATCTGGAATGTTCATGCAGTGCATGTTGATAAGCAGTCAGAGATAACAAGAATAGACAGAAGTATCTAGAACATTCATGCTGTGCATGTTGATAAGCAGTCTGAGATAGCAGGAATAAATTGGAGAAGCATGATGATGAGAAAATGATAGGGCCGCTGTAACATTACCCCCTCGTTATCGTCTGAAGTCACCGACTTCAAAAACTTTCCAACCTCGCATCGTCGTAGTAGACGAGATCCGCATCAGCATTATGAAACTCCAGCAGATCGTCCACTGTGCGTTTGTTGGCGAGCTCCTCTGCTTCACGCTCAATTTGTTCGATAAGTTCGTCTTGGTCTGCTTCCCATTTAGCAAGTGCATCATAGAAGCCTTCTTCGTTGTGCTCCATGGGGAGGACTCTTTCGCCATGGAGTTGGCGACAGAAGACGGATAGGTGTCCAGGTTTGAACACGAGGCACGCTCTGCAGTAATATTCTGGGCAGTTCTTGTGATGATGCCCCATTTCTTTGCAGTGGCGGCAAATGATGTTGTCATCGAAGGAAAGAGGAGGAGGTAGCGATCTGGATGACTTTGGAGGGGTTACAATATCTGGCTGCGAGCAGCGGTCTTTGTTCTTTGGAGGGGAACGTGATTTGGGTTTGTAGGGTGTACTCTTCGCGGAGCTTTTACGACACTCTGAACACCTGAGCGTGTTCTGCGGTGGAGGGACGGGCATCAGGAAAAATGGTATTTGCACTAATTGCAAATATAGCATCTATATCCCTCAGAGCAAAAAGAGCAAAAAAAGACAAGTGCCCTGTTATAGTTGTCATATATAACTGCCATATCCCAATAATTGTGAAAAATAGCCAACTAAAGACAGGTCATAAAAGTTCAACCCACCTTGCTTTAGTTGTCTCTGAATGTCTATGAATGACTTTATTTGCCATTTTTCAGTTTTTGACATTTTCGAGTTTTTGACATTTTTGACAACTGCACCAAGGGGGAATTGAACTCATGACTTGCGATGCAAGATAAAAGGTGATCAAGACCACTACACCATAGTCTCTTTGATATATCCTAACCAGAATGTCAATATATACCAATGATTCAAGTCACAACTTATAAGCTACACATTTACTTCAACAAATTTTCGCATTTTTGCTTATTAGATAAGGGTAACCATTAGGATGGGTAATGGTAGACCGTGGGAATTATTTCGAAAAAATCAAAGTTGTAGCCCTTGTCAAGGGGAGTCTATCCATAGTCTCATGACATCAACAGCAGAAGATCCTATTGAGATATAAGCAAAATGCTCGAAAAACATCGGCAAAATTTGACTTTTTGAATTTTTTTTTCAAGTGAGGTGGTGATGAAAGTTGTAGCCCTTGTCAAGGAGGGTCTGTCCATAGCCATATCACATCAATAGGATAAGAACTGATCAAGTTATTACTTGAGACATTCTCAAAACAAGCTGATGATTATCGAGTATTTTGCCCATATCTCACTAGCATTTTATCCTATTGATATTTCAAGATTGTGGATAGACTCCCCTTGACAAGGGCTACAACTTTGATTTTTTTTAAACAATTCCCGCGGTCTACCATAGTTATATAGTGGCACAATATACATCCAAAACCAAAAAGTGCAAAAAGGGCAGAAACCAATTTCCTAATCAAGTTAGAATTAGTCAGCCTCCTGTCGGATTAGGATTAGGATTAAGGTTAGGATTAGGGTTTGGATTGTGGTGGGATCAGGATTTGGAGTCAATTTTTCTCTATGCTGCAATATATGTATCTATAAGCATTAGTGGCACTACATGCACTTAAAGCCATTCATATCCAAAAATTGCAAGAACCAGTTTTCCTGATGTGCAGTTGCTTGTCGAGAGGGGATATGCTGATGCACCTAAGCTTAGGGCAGAGTGCAAAGAGTTCAAGTGTCCAGGTGATAGGACTGACTGCTGCTGCCATCGACTGATGTACAGCCAACCAGACTTCAATGCTGTTGAGTCTCATCTTGAATCTTCGTGCCGTGCACGTGGATTTGATGTCATCTTTTTGCCGAAATTTCACTGCGAGTTGAACTTTATCGAGCAGTGTTGGGGCTTCGCAAAGCGTCTTTATCGAATGAAGGATCAGTTGTCGTCAGAGGTTGTTCTCGAGCATAATGTGATTAGATCACTTGATGCCATGCCAATACAATCCATGCGGCGGTGAGTTTTCATGTAATTGGGCCATCAAATCTTGATTAATTCTTGCGCAGCTTCGCAAACAGATCCCTTCGGTTCATCGATGCCTATCAAAAAGGACTGAATGGAGTCCAAGCAGCGTGGGCAATCAAAAAGTACCGTGGCCATCGTGTTCTTCCAGAGTCCATCATGCGAGAGTTTGATTAAGTCTCCATTTAAATTCTCAGTAATACATCTCACATTAAATATTCTAATGTCTGCAATTGTATATGCATATGCGCACTTTACAGTTGTACCTACTTACTTATCCTGCTCGGCACTGCTCGGCATAGTTAGCATTGACCGTGTCACACTCATGTCACATCATGTGATGTTTGTAGAATCCGCACGACGTCTACCTTACGTATAGCCAGGAATGTAGGAAAGACTAAAGAATTCAGGGTCCCGGCGACCATCTTTTCCTCCGTACACCCTGATAAAGCATTGCACACAACCGCCGTAGTAGACTGTGGCGTGGGGGCAACATTCATCAACTGGATGTTTGTCCGAAAACATGGAATCAAGATCCATAAGTTCAATAAACCCTTCTCTATCCGAAACGCCGATGGACAATTCTCAAAAAAGCAATGTACCCATTATTGTCATCTAGCCATCAAGATTGATAAATGCCTCGTGATCGGAAAGTTCAATGTAATGACCATGGGAGAAAGAGATATGATCCTTCTTGGCAAACCATGGTTGTCGGCCATGAATCCCGACATCAATTGGGTAGAAGACACCCTCAAGCTCCCAGCCACCCCACATTCTCGAAATCTAGAACAAGAATACCAGGAGATGTGGAAGGTTCCCGTCCCCCCTCCCCAATACGATACCAAGGATGACGTATGGAACAATGTTCCCACTGAAACATTATTTGCCCGAAAAGTGGACAGTGCCTCCACTTACCTGATCAATGATGATGAAGTACTCATCGAATACTCCCCTGATGGGTCTACGGTCAGAATCATCGAAAACCTTTCCCTCGATACCCCTCTCACTCAAGATGGAACATCCGCAATTGAACTTAAACGGGCAATCTCGATACAACCACTAAGGAATCAATGGATATTTTCAAGAAAGACCGCCAATGAAGAATACTTGAAAACCAGTAACAAGGCTCAAGAATTCGCCCTGAAAGATGCGCAGGAAAAGAAGAAAAAGACTTTTGAAGAACTCGTCCCATCCTATCTCCACGATTTCGCCGACATTTTCGCTAAAGACAGGTTAAACAAGTTACCCCCCTCTAGACCAGGAGTGGATCATAGAATCGAAACCAAACCTGGCTATGTCCCTAAGTCAGCGAAAACTTACCCCCTATCCCAGAAGGAAACCGAAGCCGTGAAGGCTTTCTTAGATGAACATCTTTCGAAAGATTTTATCCAACCATTGAAATCTCCTCAAGCCAGCGGCTTCTTCTTTGTTGGAAAGAAAGATGGCTCTCTTCATCCCTGTCAGGACTATCGTTATATCAATGAATGGACAATAAAGAATGCATACCCTCTCCCTCTGATTCCTCCACTAATCGCGAAACTACAAGGCGCCAACTATTTCACGAAAATGGATGTTAGATCGGGGTACAACAACATCCTGATTCATCCCGATGATCGCTGGAAAGCCGCCTTCACAACCTTGTTCGGGCTCTTTGAGCCAAAGGTCATGTTCTTCGGTCTTTGCAATTCACCAGCCACGTTTCAAGCATACATGAATCAGACATTCAGAAAAGAGATAGATGAAGGATGGATGATAGTCTACATGGACGACATCTTGATCTTTTCAAAAACTCTTGAAGAACACCAAGACCGAACCCGCCGTATCCTCAAAATCATTCGAAAAGAAACCCTTTTCCTGAAACCAGAAAAGTGCATTTTCGACGCTCAAGAGGTGGACTATTTAGGAATGATTATTAGACCAGGACAAGTTGCGATGGACCCCGCCAAACTTTCGGGTATCAGCGACTGGCAGGTCCCATCCTCAGTAAAAGAAGTCCGATCATTCCTTGGATTCTGCAACTTCTACCGTCATTTCATATCCCACTACTCCGACCTCGCACGACCCTTGATCGATCTAACAAAGAAAGATGTGATTTTCATTTGGTCAGAAGCTTGCGAAGATTCCTTCCAGAAGCTGAAGAGATGTTTCCTTTCTGAACCTGTTCTCTGAAACCCCGACCCCTCACGACAATTCGCTCTTGCCACCGATGCCTCCCTTGTTGCCACTGGAGCCGTTCTTTTACAGACAGACGAGAATGGTGCTTATCATCCTTGCGGATATCTATCCCAATCCTTTAATCCAGCAGAATGAAACTATCAGATCTATGATCGGGAACTCCTCGCAATCATCCGAGCCCTGAAAGCTTGGCGCCACTATCTTGAAGGGAACCCACACCCTGTAGTGGTTTTCACCGATCACAAGAATCTTCTCTATTTCCGATCAGCACAGAACCTGACACGTCGTCAGGCACGTTGGCAGCTAACCCTCAATGAGTTCGATCTAGAACTACATCATGTTGCAGGAAGCAAACTCGCTGCCCCTGATGCTCTCTCATGGTGACCGGATCATTCTGCAGGTCAAACTGATAATGCCAATATTACCCTCCTCCCTGATGAATTATTTGGACAACTCATCGACATCGACCTTGCCGCAGCACTGAAACTCCAGAATCCTCTCTCGGATCCCGTTATCCTAGCAGCCCAACAGGCCTTAGACGGGCTCAATGCCCCTCCTATGAAATCTGCACTCTCTGATTGGCGTATTGAAGACAACACGCTTTTCTATAGGAACCGAGCCTATGTCCCCGCAAATCTCCGTCATCGCATCTTAAATCTTCACCATGACCACCCCACTGCCGAGCACCCTGGACACTTTAAAACTGAAGAACTAGTTAAGCGTGATTATTGGTGGCCTGGGATGGGAACATACATCTGGAAATACATCAAAGGATGCACCATGTGTCAACAGATGAAATCCGATATGCACCCCACAACTCCCCCTCTAAACCCTATTTCCTCCTCCACCTTACGCCCCTTCGCTCAAGTCTCGGTAGATTTGATCACCGACCTCCCACCATCAGAAGGCTTTGACTCTGTCATGGGCTTACAAAGGGGGTAATTCTCTCACCTTGCAAGAAAACCATCACATCAGAAGGAGTAGCCAAACTCTTTTTCAAGAAAGTGTTCCTTAGATTTGGTTTATATGACAAGATCATCTCCGACAGAGGTCCCCAATTCGCATCAAAATTCACAAAAGAACTTGGAAGACTCCTTGATTATGAAGTTGCCCTCTCAACTGCCTATCACCCGCAGACTGATGGACAAACTGAATGATTGAACCAAGAACTCGAAACCTATCTCCGCATCTATTGCCGATCAACCCCCCAAGATTGGGTAAAACATCTTCCTATGGCAGAATTCGTCCATAATCACCGAAAACACGACTCCCAGAACACCTCTCCATTCTTCCTCATGATGGGCTATGAGCCTCGAGGAATCCCTTACGCCTTCCCTGATTCCGCTATCCCTGCCGCAGAAGATCGAGTAAAACACCTCCAGAAGATTCGAGAAGAAGCTCTTGCCTGTCATAAACTAGCAATGCAATGTATGGCCGAACAATCATTTGGAAGGAAGTTTGAACCCTGGAAACCTAAAGACAAAGTTTGGTTATCTGGTGCGCATCTTATCACCCACCTCCCATCAAAGAAGCTCGCGCCAAAGCGATATGGCCCCTTTGAAATTGAAAAAGTCCTCTCCCCTATCACATTCAAACTCCGCCTCCCTGAATCTTGGAAATCTCACCCCATGTTTCATGCTTCTGAACTATCATCCTATCGGGAGACTGAAATTCACGGCCCGAACCATCCTGAACCACCACCTGATCTTATCAACGGACAAGAGGAATACGAGATAGAAGCGATCCTCGCCCACAAGGGAAACATAAAAGGAAGACACCGCTTTCTCGTGTCATGGAAAGGTTACCCCAGTTCAGAAAACTCGTGGCTACCCAAAAAGGAACTCCAGAACGCCCTGGAGATCCTGAAAGCCTATAAAGACCGCCTCAAATTAGCCCGACTTCTCCATTGAACCCTCATCTCCAGAACCAATTCTAGCAAACAAACCATGTCTTCGTCTTTCCAACTCGCTGAATACTTCGACCTCGTTAACAAGATCGATGCTGCCTCCCTCGTAGAATCCGCCTTGTTATCCCCACAACATGCCCTTGAAATAGAACGCATCCTCACTGAAAGAGAGGATGACACCACTTTTACCACTGTCAATATCATCCGCACCACCAGTCTCTTGGAGACCATCGCTGAAAATGTAGACAATGCCGACGCTCAGCGCAGCATCCTCTATCTTCAAAGAAAGATACAGACCTTTGCTCTCCATCTCCTTCCCTTGTATTTCAAGGAGGATGTAATGCAAGCCATACAAACCATTGCAGAACGAGTCACAACTGAGGTCGCTGTTCCACCCCCACCTCCTCCTACTGCTATCCCCTCTACTCCTGAACCGACAATCGCACGACCCATCAGGAAAACTGGTTCTTGCAATTTTTGGATATGAATGGCTTTAAGTGCATGTAGTGCCACTAATGCTTATAGATACATATATTGCAGCATAGAGAAAAATTGACTCCAAATCCTGATCCCACCACAATCCAAACCCTAATCCTAACCTTAATCCTAATCCTAATCCGACAGGAGGCTGACTAATTCTAACTTGATTAGGAAATTGGTTTCTGCCCTTTTTGCACTTTTTGGTTTTGGATGTATATTGTGCCACTATATAACTATGGTAGACCGCGGGAATTGTTTAAAAAAAATCAAAGTTGTAGCCCTTGTCAAGGGGAGTCTATCCACAATCTTGAAATATCAATAGGATAAAATGCTAGTGAGATATGGGCAAAATACTCGATAATCATCAGCTTGTTTTGAGAATGTCTCAAGTAATAACTTGATCAGTTCTTATCCTATTGATGTGATATGGCTATGGACAGACCCTCCTTGACAAGGGCTACAACTTTCATCACCACCTCACTTGAAAAAAAAATTCAAAAAGTCAAATTTTGCCGATGTTTTTCGAGCATTTTGCTTATATCTCAATAGGATCTTCTGCTGTTGATGTCATGAGACTATGGATAGACTCCCCTTGACAAGGGCTACAACTTTGATTTTTTCGAAATAATTCCCACGGTCTACCATTACCCATCCTAATGGTTACCCTTATCTAATAAGCAAAAATGCGAAAATTTGTTGAAGTAAATGTGTAGCTTATAAGTTGTGACTTGAATCATTGGTATATATTGACATTCTGGTTAGGATATATCAAAGAGACTATGGTGTAGTGGTCTTGATCACCTTTTATCTTGCATCGCAAGTCATGAGTTCAATTCCCCCTTGGTGCAGTTGTCAAAAATGTCAAAAACTCGAAAATGTCAAAAACTGAAAAATGGCAAATAAAGTCATTCATAGACATTCAGAGACAACTAAAGCAAGGTGGGTTGAACTTTTATGACCTGTCTTTAGTTGGCTATTTTTCACAATTATTGGGATATGGCAGCTATATATGACAACTATAACAGGGCACTTGTCTTTTTTTGCTCTTTTTGCTCTGAGGGATATAGATGCTATATTTGCAATTAGTGCAAATACCATTTTTCCTGATGCACCATTCCCTTAAACCATCCTGCCTTTTCGTGCCCCTCCGGAAAATAAAGCGGCTGTGTATCGCCGTTAATGAGGCATGTGTCAGCCATCCGAATGCATTTCTTGACTGGTTTACCATCAGCAGCCACAAGAGGTTTTCCATTGGCGTCTTTGACGGCCAGTGTCATGCCCCAGGATTTTGACGGATTCTTCGGCATCTTGCAAGCGGACAGCGCATCATCAGCGCGCAGTTGCGGTGAGTAGTGGCATTGTCAAACATGAGGATGTGGTCTTCGTTGGGGTAGTCTCTCAACAGAATATCCATTGCTTTCTCGGCGTGTGCGAGGATATTATCATTGGTAAAATATCTGTCTCGTGCCTTTCCTGCTCTGAACAGAATACGTGCACTCTCCTTTCCATCAAGGGAACGAAGCCAACCATAATCTGCAGAGACGAAATCGGCGACCATTAAAGAAGCACCCTCTCCTTTGGGAAGTGGTACAGCCCCTTCACTAATGTGGACCCAGCGCTGCTTTCTCCGATCATTTGCATAAAATGTCGACTCATCGTGAAACCAGTGCACAACTCGACGGCCAGTCAAAGATGAAGACTCGGTCAGAACCTGTACCGCCGTAGAGATATTCTTGTCCGTCCACTGGCGCATTTGTGTGTGGTAGCGATTCCACCCAGGTAGGAACACATTTTGACGATAGTGAATGATGTCGTCACGTTCGTGTCCATCAGAATATTGCCCCTTTGGTTCCTGCTTCCATCAATAGCCTAGCCGTCCCATCCATCGCTGTCCCGTTTTGAGGGAAATTCCTTTCTGTAAGCCATAACGTGTCTGGTTCTCTGGAACATTAAGGTAATCCACGAGGTCCTGTGCACGCACGAACTTCCCTACACTTTGAAGGTGGAGCTTTAATCTGCAGCAAAGGATTCATCATCAACGCGAGACTCCGAACGTCGGGGTGCACAAAGAGGCAGTGCATCTCGGTCCTTGATGTATGCCTTCGACCAAGTTCGTAGACAACGCGAGAGGTAAAGTTCTCCTTTTTTCCCTGCTTGAGCATTGCAGGCTGCACGGTCAGCTGCTTTACCCCAATGACCACCCACTGAATTTGCAGAATGTGCCCTCCCATCACTCCCAACATCTGTGTATAGCCAGAGAAAGCTTCTCATGTGGTTGAGCCTCTCCTTTAAGATTGGGGGGTGTTTCGGGTCACGATAACCTGTCTGATCACGTCGAGGGGGCTTCAACAATGTCCTTAGCTCATCTAATGCCTTCCTGGCTTCCTCGACAGTGGGTGGCTTTCTGAGCTCGAAAGAATGGTCTCGGGTACCCCCATCTCCTCCATGATTCCCATCAATGTCACTCTCAGCATCTGTTTCATCATCTCCCGATCCAACATCAGAAACAACGTCATCGTGACTGGCGCTGTTGGTCTGGTGAGAAACATCTGTTAGTGACTCATCAAAGATGTCTTCGAGAAGAAATTCAGTTTGATCCATTTCTTTCCAGTGCACACCCCGGATGCCAATTAAGTCATCCTCGTCTTCAATGTCCTTGCAGGTCACTTTGTAAAGATGTGGCTTTGGCAGGGGGCTTTGAATTGAATATGTATTCTCGGCAGTTGAGAAAGGGACTCGCGAGAAAGGCTTGCTAACAATACTCGATTGGGATTCTTCACTTGATGCACCGCAGACTCGGACATTATCTGCAACATGAACCTATGTGCCCGTTTGACATGAGTTGTCGCAGCTTCGAAAATTTACTAGTTACTCACATTTTCATCATTTTTCGGAGTGTTCGAGCTTGTTCTTTGTCGCTTCAATGCCCACCATGTATTCAGGCCTGTGGCACAATGTTTTCGCCACTGCGGTCGGTCAACCATGACTCGGAGCCCTACAGGTGAGACTGTTGGCTTCACGGCGGCCTCGCATTTCGGAGTCGACGAGCTTTGACCTCTGCTAGGAGGGGAAATCCATAGAAACCAAGTTAACTAATTAACAACTGCACTTTCACAAATTCTGCAAATATCATAATCTTCGCAAAGGCTTTTTCTATCCATTGACATTACAGATTGTGTCCCCATTTCCTCGTTGATTTGTTAACCTTTTTTTTGTGTTTTGTCACTCAAAGTCACGATTTATCACGTGATGTTTGTAGAATCCGCACAACGTCTACCTTACATCGATATACGGAGTTTCTGACATTGCGGCAGGCTCCGAAGTTAAAAATCCAAGTTCCATCTTTTGACAGATTCATCATCCTCTTCCTCTTCAATCTTGCTGGAGGATTCTTCATCATCAGATGCTTCACGTCTTACCGGTTGCTTTCCTTTTCCCTTCTTTCGGTCATCTCCGGTTCCCCTGGGGTGGAATGTGCGGTCATTCGCGCGATGTCCCACTTTCCCGTAGTTGAAGCATTTTCCCTGCCTCATGTATTCTCGTTTCTCGTCTTCAGTAAGGCGATCTACGTCCATCGCATTCTCATCTCTAGGAGTGCCTGAGAAGCGAGTGGGTCTATGGTTATCATTCCTTCTTCCGTTGTGCTGATTCAAATGATGGGATCTGTGTGAACGAAGGAGTTGGTAGGTGTTTTCGATGTTGATAACCTTCTTGAAAAGTTTCTCTGCATCTTCAGGGATTTCTCCGGAGTTGCATAATTTCTCTACGATATTGCGGTTCAGCCCGGAAAAGAAGTAATCTTTTACAGCAGCGAAATTGTTGATTCCGGCTTTTGAGGCGAGTTGTTTGAAGTTGGCGATGTATTCGCTCAGGTCATCCTTCTGTTTCAGGTTGCGGAGCTTGTGGAGGGCCTTCCTATGGAATCTATTGGAGAGAAGCTTTCCTTCATTTTGGTGGTGAAATTGCTCTAGGTTCCATAACTATTCTTTGCTCCGCTCGAGGAACTCGGGTTTACTTCTCTAGCGAAAGTGGTGAAGTCTTCCATCCAAAGAGCTGCTGCCCCGTCTTTCATGAATGAAAGGGCGAAGATGATCTTTTGTTTGTCGGTGTCGTAGATTTCATCGTTGATTTCGATATACGCCTCGACTAGGCATAGCCATTGGGAAATCTTTTCTCTATCTCCAGAAAAGTCAGGTGGGTAGCCAATCTTTCGTTCAATGGGTTTGTCTCTTCCTGACATGGTGGGTTCTTGAGGTTCAGGGTCTTCAGGGTCTTCGGGTTCTTCGTCATCGTCTTCTTCGTCTTCATCGAAGTCTAAGGGTGGGGCCTCAGGGATTTCTTCGTCCTTGTCAACAGGTGGGTTCTGGAAGGATTCTGGGTACGATTCTTCTTGGTTCTGAGATGGTTCAGTTTCAAGCGAGCTGAGTCCTATTGGTGATGCGATGACTCCTCTTGTTATAGATGATGGTCCTGCTAATAGTGCTGAGAAAGGGTTCTGGGGGTCTGAGCGGGTGTTCTTGGTGGTATTCTGGGATATTGGTCTGCTCCTATTCTTCCTGCGGCGGTGTGTCTTGCCTTCGCCGAGGTCTGCTTCTGAGAAGACATTTTGTCTTTCTATTCTGGGTTCGAGGTTTCGGGGTGGTTGGGTCCCTCAGTGATAAGAGGGGTTCTGGGAAACTTGAATCTTTTGTTACGACTTGGATAGTTCTTGCGTAACTAATCCAATAAAGGAGTTCAAATGTTACGATGTTCTGTTCAGATGTATGAGGGGCTCTCCCTCTATACAAAGTTCGAGTATAGGCTAGTCTCTTTACAAGAGCTAGATCGGAATCAAGTATCTTCCTTAGAAGATGATCAAGTATCAGAAAGAACGAAGTAGATTCAAGTTAGAGAATACAAGCGTAGCTACTGCAATATTTATAATGGACAGGGGAGGCACGGACCAGGCCGACTATGGAAGTGAAAGGAGTCAAGAAGAATGTCAAAGAACTATCTGGAATGTTCATGCAGTGCATGTTGATAAGCAGTCAGAGATAACAAGAATTGACAGAAGTATCTAGAACATTCATGCTGTGCATGTTGATAAGCAGTCTGAGATAGCAGGAATAAATCGGAGAAGCATGATGATGAGAAAATGATAGGGCCACTGTAACACACAGCATCTGGCTCGAGGCTCGTACAACGACTACTCACTCCCAAGCCTTCCAGTGACCATGGGACGGAATCTACCATACTGCGGGTACTTGCGACATCTACAGATCCAGACGACATTACAACCGCAGCCTCAGCAAAACTTTGTGAGTAGGTGCTGCCTCATCAAATGTTTATCTGAAAGAGGGCTTCTAGATATGTCATTGCGCTCTCTTGTTTGCATATATTGCAGTACCTTGAGCCATGCTCTCAAGGTGGTTTGGTCTTGTTCCTCGCGGTCCCTTTCATCCCGCAACCCGAGATTTGGCCTCAGCACACCCAGAAGGTCTGTACCTTTTGCGTCCGGGATTTTCGCTTATTCAACTCCATACGCTGGACCCAGAACGCCTCGCTTTAGACCGACATTCATGACTGTAGCAGATGATTATGTAATAAGCTGACATCGCATTTTCGCTAAGTCCATTTGTTCCAATTGGTTCTAACACAGATTCAACCAAATTAGCTCATCTGACGTTTCACTGCAACCGTCACATTGACAGAGACCGGTCACCGAATCAATTCAATGATGCTTCAAGGATGGTCAAACTGCAGCAGTATGTTTCTGCTTTTCAACTTGCCAGTCCTGGAAGCCGTTGATTCGTGGGCAGCAGACAAATCTATGACTCATGTTTCTGTGCAGGAGTAATAACAGTACATTTTCTCTGCCTCCTGTCAAGCCACGAGGCTAATTTGTTTGATTGTTGGTGCTATACCGCGCTGTATTGCACCATATAATATCAAGCAACCTCACGTATTTCATTTTGTCCCGACATATCCCAACTGTCGTTTCACCTATAAGTTGTCCGTTCCCTGTTGTTTTTCTCTATGACCTCTGAGTCTCTTAACTTACTGCAGGTATCTCTCTCATTATGCCACAGCGGGCTCCCCATCACATTGTTCCATCTGACAGGTCTGAATTGGACTCCGACGATTTGGACTCTCCATCTGTTGCAGTGGATATCGCATCAACTGCCAGTCAGCCATCAGTCTCCAACAGCCGCGGGCAACAGCAGCATGGGGACATCGAGGTATTGTAGTCACATCATGCATGAAACTATCTATATGCCGACTTTTATGTCTGAAGATTGTCCGGCACTTGCAGTTAGAAAACCAGATGCTCAAGAATGATAACCGTACTTTGGGCGAAAAGAACAAGACTTTATTGTCCAATCAACACCAACGTTCAAGCGCCCAAGTTCTGGACGAGCTGAAGGCTTTTGATGTTGAACTCTCGACCTTTTCCCACAAGTATGGGGTTGTTGCGGAGGTGTTCCCATCCGAGCATCGTATCCTCAAACTCGTTGTGCCGAATCCTCCACCTGCCATCCTATCTGGGAGTTGCTATGCCAGCAAGAGTGCAGAAGAGCTTGGTCTTGTAACCGAGCTATACTCCCTTCTCCCAGATCATCTTCATCGGTTTGTACCTACGTCTCATTTTCAATCACTGGTGTGTCAGTCTATGTTGTGTGACCTAGCACTGATTATTAATATGTAACGCAGCTAGAACAACAACTTCAAGGTGGCCGCTCGAGTGAAATCGGCAAGTTAAGGGTGATGGCAGGTCGAATTTTCAGTCTCGATCCATCATACTTTGACACCGGTTTTATGAATCGCGATACAATCCCCGAGATCCAGAAGATGCTCGGTACGACTGGTAGCCGTTCGTCGTCATCAAAGTTCCCACCTGTCATTTTTACGAGGCAGGAAAGGGACCCCACAATGTCCACAGTCTTTGGAAATTGGGAGCCAGTCGCAAAGGTACTTATTTATTTATCACTGCGTGAATCTGTCCTTATGCTATTTGGTCCAAATTCACCTAGGCAATTAGGGTGATAATGTTCGGCAAAAATTCACTAGATATTGCTGGGTGGCCTCGTGCCAAGTGTAATGCTCGAAAGTGGGGCATAACTTCATGCACCCCTGGTCTTCTTGCCTGGGCTTGGGTCGCAGTAAGACTCTCCAACCACTAATGATCAATGCGCTCCTCTAGTTGCCCCCAATTCACCGACACTTGCTCTGGCTGCACCACCCGCCGTTTCCGATGCTGTGCCAGCACCACCCACCATTCCCATTGCCATGCCAGTACCACCCGCTGTTCCCGTTGCTGTGCCAGCACCACCCGCTGTTCCCATTGCTGTACAAGCACCAGCCATCACCCCTGCTGCTGAGACCATCATCACACTGGGTCCTCTTCCTGCTATTCCAGTTTCTCTCGCAGCTGATGAATCCCCTCCAGTTCCTGATGGACCTAACAACATGGAGATACTGCCAACAGCGGCCCCGTCCTCTAGTTGATGGGGACGGGGAAGGGGAAAGCAGGGTGGGCTAGTCGGCATATCTTTGTCAGCGGAGCAGCGAGAAACATGATCTCGGAAAAAGGACTAGAACATTGCAGAGTATTATAGTAGTATGTAGTTAGATTGGTGCTCATCATAATCTGATTATGTTGATTTCATTGATGTCCAAATTGACTTCAAACTGCAAGATATTTATTGGGAAGAACTTAGGTCATTGGAACAAGCCTTGGGACCTAGATTGCAAGCCACGATGAAATCAGCTTCGATTGTTGCAGCCGGCGGCTAATATTGCTAAATGGGTTGAAACTTTTGTTGAAAGGCACGATTGCAACCAGATTGTAACATAAATTGTATTGTAATGCTCTTTTATTGCAACTCGTTGGGACCTAGGCTCGTCATTTGATCCTTGCAACGTGTCGCAAGGTCATGAATCCCGAATAGGAAATTTCCGACATACATTGACAAATAGTTTGTCCGAATGGTCCTTGGACAAATATACGAGTGGATGCTCTACACAACACTTGGCTGAAGTGTGTGGATCCTTTGATGAACGAGGGACCTTTGGTATGGAGCAAAAGTCCTTGGTGATGTGGATTTGGGAAGCTGACTAAGCTTTACCCAAGCAAGTCCTTGCTGAGCTTACTCGAAGCAAGATACAATTTGTGGTAGAATTGTCTGAATGATCCTTGGACAAATGTGCAGTGAATGGGAAGCTGACTAAGCTTTTCCCAGACAGATCCTTGCTGACATAATCAAAGCAAGAATATCTCCTGAAGAGTTCTTTGTCCAAACAGCTTTTGAACAAAAGATATGGGCTGTGCGGGATGCTGACTAAGCTTTTCCCAGACAAATCCTTGCTGACTTAATCAAAGCAAGGAAACAGCAGTTCTAGACCAACAAAGGACTAGAAAAGAAGGTTAGGGTGACTAAATGCCCCTAACAACAGTAAAGATAACACAAGACTAAGATTATATCAAATCTTAGTGTAGTAAGGCTGTCAGTATCAGCCTGCACTTCAGATGATAGATGTGAAGTGGGAAATCTCCAATATGGGGAGTCTCTCATTTCTCCTCAGAGAATTGAGCCTCCTTATATACATTTGGTGTGGGAAAATTCCCAGGAACTGTATAGTACCAAGAAAATAGAAAGAGACACAAATCTCAGAAGAAATAAGGTAGTTGTAGCATAAAATGCAGAATTGAAGTGGAAAGAACACCAAAGGAGGAAAATGACTCATTCTGACTCATTTGACAGCAAATGACATCACTGTGGAGCAGTGTGGAGCATTTGTGGAGCAAAGTGGAGCTGAATAATATCATTGTGGAGCTATGACATCAAATGACATCATTGTGGAGTTATGACATTGAGTGACATCGTCCAAGATCAAATGACTCAATTCTGGAGTCATATGACTTCTCCTAGGGTTAATTACATGTTATGTAAGCTCAGATTGTGGCTGAAGCTCACATAACGTGCACAAATAAAAAAGAACAAGAGAAACAGAAGCAAGAAAGTCAACAAAGATAAACGTAAACAGAAGGAAACAAAACACGAGCTTTCTGCCACTTTTTACTTCTCTTGCCTCAACATAGAGTAATTAGTCTAAAGCGAAAGCTTTTGGGCTAGTATACTCTTATCCTATTGAATGTCAATGTATGATCTTCGTTTCATGCATGACAGCGCCAGTGGAAGCAGGAGCTGCAGGCATTGTTAGATCATGATGAATAAGAAGCTTTTTATCACTGCAACACCGAGGGACGTGAATATTGCAAACACGCTTGGTATGTTCTCGTTTCTTACTGTTTCGTCTCTTAAACCTACGTAGACAGTGCATTTACTACACTAGTACAGTGGGTAGTATAATCAATTAATTTACCACGCTTATGATAAACGTCACGTGCACCCGCATTGGACTTTTTGCGTCTGTTTGAATTTTGATCCTCTCAATGTAAGGTGTCTTCATGGATTCGGTTTGTGCATGGGGATGGCCAGGGTGTCCAGAGTTGCTCTGAACCCTGGTCAGTAACCATTGCATTAAGCAAACCTTGGCCAGGGTGTCCAGAGTTGCTCTGAACCCTGTGCCACCCAGCAATTCAGTCATAGCACCTTATATTCTGTCTTCTACCACTACCACTACTCCTACCTCTTGTCTCTACTAAAGCCCTGCTGCCATTGCCGCTCTCGGATTCGTCGAAGCCGCAGCTGATGGAACTCGACTATGAACCATTGGAGGAGGAGGAAGAAGACTTCGGTGCTGGTAAATCGGTAAGTCTCGTCTAGTATTGGCTCTCCACCTCCCCTCCTTACCATGAGGCTGGTATGGCCCGTTTTGCCCCAAGCCGAATGGTGGAGTATCGCGCTCTCATTCCCTCACATCCATCACCAAATTCTTTTTAGTTATATTTACTCATCATGCTAACACACATCACCCAGGCCAATCTGCAACATGCAGCTTGTCTTCTTGCATTCTATCCAGTGGTGGTCTCTATCTATCTACTCACTTAGCAAATCGTGCTCTCAACATTGCATCACCTATATCCTATACACCATCGCACCACAGCACTGTTGGATAAATCCACGTTACATACAAGTCTCGCTATTACTCATCTCTTGCTAACCTTCGCACACTACAACTGCGCACATGTACAATAACACGCATCAATCCCTACGCGAATGGTATATAGTCTGTGGACCCTCAGTCTTTTCCCGTTAGACTGAGGTGAGATCACTACTCTCTTTACCATACTCAATCCTTACTAACATTTATCATAGTCACTTGTTTCACACTCGCAGGTACTTATACTAATACCAGAGTCTTTTCCCGTTAGACTGAGTCACTCATTTCACACTCACAGACTACAGTGTTCGTAGATCTCAACAAGCACTTCCTCCAAGGTCGCCCCGCGAACGGGGTTCAATCTGCCTGTCGCCAGCCTCAGCGAGGTTACCCCCCACAACTGTTGGTTCCAAGCCCAACGGGACTTGCCTATGATGTACACGTCCCCCACCTGTCGCTCGGTAACACTCAGCAACTCTATGACATGGTTCTCCCTGCAGGAGACAATCATCGCCCAGCCGTACACAATGTTTTCCGTGGTGGTCATCACCTAGGATACAGCCAGGTGAGTGTATCATGACCGTGAGGAACGTATTCTGATCCAGGAACACTGTTAGCAACGTCTTAACAGGACGAGCGCCACGACACCTAACGCCAGACACTCCTTCAATAGCACGGATGTAGATCTTGATTTTTCCTCGCCATCCACACCTTCTGCCGCAACCCCCATGACATCTTTTGAACTCTTGCAAACTGACAGGGTATCGAAAAATAATGCTGTTCCACGCTTGTTCACTTCACGAAGAGGTAATGAGGATCCAGTCTGGCCAGCTGGTGTTGCAGTACCGTTGCACCACAGCACTTCCTTAAAGTGTCCAGCCCCAGCTTATGGTATTTGTTGTACACTGGGTATTTTGTCACTATGTACATTATTTTAAAAATAACAGAGCTGATTCTAACCTATCTCGTCGTGTGCCACTGCATCGCAACAGAAAAAACAAGGTATTACTACTATTAATCAACCTTCCTCATCATCACTGTCTTCTGCCTCGTCCTCGTCCTCGTTTGTTACTCCAACACTTGCAACATCTAAGCCTGGCTTCTCAATTACGAAAAAGCGATCTTCCTCTGCACCAGAAGGTAATTTTGGGCGGTGTGGAGCCATTGAAACAACTGATTTGATTGATTTTACATCAACCACGGACAACACGTCATTGCCGTGATGAGTACATGACCAGAGGGTGTTGTATGATATGGTGAGCAGTTTGTCGTGAGGCAGAGAATACACGGAGACAATTGTGACGCTAGAAAATTGCCATCGAGGCTCGTCTTCATCATCTGATTCAAAGAAATCATGGCACTGGTTGTTTGGGTTCCGGACAGCCAATTGAGCGAAGTATATCACTTCTGCGAAACAATCAACACCATTAATTTGAACCTTGTCAGAGTCGAGTCAGTCACATATACCTTCACATTGCGAGACACCCTGGTTTTATCCAAAGGTTTCAGTGTTTCTCACCATGCCGATCTGACAATTTGACCATTGGGCAGCTGCAAACGTGCCCATCGACAGAACCTTGGTGCTGGTCGACCCAAATAAGCGCTGATAGCTGCTGCTTCAGCGCTACCAGGTGGAATGGTGATTGGGCGTTTGTCAGACTTGTGAAGAAGAATATAAGATTCGCCTAAGTCATAAGCTCCTCGAGGAAGGACATTGTCGGATTTATGATAGCGAGGGAGAATGGCCTTAGGAGCGTTCACTTGACACCGCTGTATTCCTTGTTGGGCTAGGTTCGAAAATGGATTTGATGGTTGGCATATTTCTTGCCCAAGGTTGCCTATCATGCGCTCCATAGTCCACTGCGAGGAACATATTGGTGAGCCCACACGAGTGCACTCTGAAGCAAGATGATTAGACAAGTGGACACATGGGTGAACAAATTGTAGATGGTCAACACGACGCTGATAATAAAGCTCTTTGAACTCTGTCTCCCACTCCACAAAACACTCAGAAGCTTTGCGAACCTGGTCTGGAGTGATGCTGTACTGACTCATGAGTCGAAGACCATGCACAAATTGACAGAAGTTGTGATAATACGGGTCCGGAATCAGGCCATAAAAGACTCCAGGACCATATCCGAACAGCCAGGTGATAAATTCTTGTGCCTTGTAGTACGTGTTGATTTTTTCTTGAGGATTACAAGGGGGTCGGCCAAATGAACCGGGTAAGTGGGGCTGCAATGCAGCAACAACTGCGCCATGATTTACCCAAGTTTCACCTGTGAGAACTAACCACGGCCAATTCTCCTGATCATCACTCCGTCCGCATGACATTTCGCCACACCAAATATCCACGAACAGTGCTGCTGTGTTAGCGCCAGTGAAATGCATGATCTCGGAAGAAAAGCACTCTGGTACACCCAAGATGTGATCAGGCTGAAGGCCAAGAAGAAAATTCGGCCTGACAATTCCTGTCTGGAGGCAGTGTTGCTTGTACTGCGCTTGGTTTGGTGCTTGCATCAGCAATCGCAAGCTCTGACAATAAGCGGCAGATGTTCTGATTGGAAGATGATAAACGTCGACGTTGCCGTGATCACAGCCCACAATGTTGTAGTTGTCAGGCTTAAGAAGGACAGGATAGTAGTGAGGGGCACCAGGCTTTCGACGCCCCTGGAGCCCACAGTGCATACAACAACCATAACGACCCATATGCCCGATGAGGTTACTCAACGAGAGTAAACCAGGGCCATCAGTGAGACTGAGGATAAGGTAGAGATATGATATGAAGTTCGTGTCGCGGGAAGCATCCCAAACATTGAGACCTTCTTTTTGAAGTGCGGAGAGATGGTGGAATCTGGGAAATAAAAATGATTCAATGAACTTGGGCTTCTTGGGTCCCGGTATGATGCCACCAGGTAGGACATGTTTCTTCTTGTAGCGACGATCGGGAGAAAGCTCCGCAACAATCCAGATGTAAATCCAGCAATCTGACTCTTTGCTCTCATATAGCTGCGCACCATCGAGGGAAATCATGAGGACCATGTTGTTCTCGACAATATGACCTGCTTGAACAGCATTGAGATATGCGCTGCCTGTAAACAGATCGTCATAAGCATCAACGAGGCCGTCATTTAGCACAAGTTCTTCAGCAATTTGTTGGGTACGTCGTTTGCGGTACTGCATCTGGTGAGCGCTGTCAGGATCATGCCAAAGGGCCTGCATTTGTGGTCCAATTGGGATCGTGTGGAACACAGCCTGCAGAACTTTCACTTTGCCTCGACTCTTCCGGAGCTTGATTTGATCATAACGGGGTGTTCCACACTCCGGACAAGTCTCGCGATCCGCATACGGTCCAACGAACGCGACACACGTATTAATGCACATGTGGTCGACAAGAGAATCAACTCCGCTAAGGTCGGCTAAGATTTTTTTGATTCGATAGAAGCTGGGTATATCAGACCCGGGGAAGCATCGATGAGCCGCAGTTCGTATGTCCTCATAGGCTGCTTCTGATGAGTGTTCGAGTGCGAGGAACGTCAAGAGGGCGAAGTCGATACCAGGATCATCAACAGTTGCTGGGTGGGAAGGGGGATTACGGAGCCTCTCAAGAGCCTCGCCTTTGAGTCCGACACCATCATCTAAATGAGCTTCCCGAAGTGCACGAATGAACAGCATATCCTGTTGGAGCTTTGGAATGTGTGCCATATTAGATAGTTCGTCTAGGTCCAAGTCCCAGAATGGGCTACGTCTGCGCTCGTTATTGGGTGGTGGCTGCTGTTGGTTGGGACATGGGTCTGGTTGGGGTTGTGCAGGATCAAAGTCTGGCCCCGGAGGATTAAAGTCTGGCTCCAGGGGATCAGATCGATCAATGTCTGGCTCCGGGAGATTAAGATCTGGCTCCGGGGGATCAGATCGATCAATGTCTGGCTCCGGGAGATTAAGATCTGGCTCTGGGAGATCATCACGAAGAGATGGTGCTGGTGAGCCTTGTTGACTAGTAGAATTCATGTCCTAGTTCAATATACCATTAGACGTCAACATAAGTACAACTCAATGTTACACGTACCTGCTCCATGACATCTTCTGATCGATCTTGTTTGCGGGGTACACTGTCATCGTCGTTAGATTCACTCCGACGTTTCAAATTGCTCGGACCAGCCAAAGTGCTAGGTGTGGGAGCAGCAGATGCACGAAATGCATCAGAGAACTTCGCAAGTCGAATATTTTCCTTTTCATCATCATCCACTTCTTGAAGATGACAATACCACGTTGATTGTGATTGAATGGAGGTTCTTTCAGCGTTACAGTACTTGCGACACACACACCAGAATTCGGACATCGAAGGCTAAAAGCATATATTATAATTGGTGCAGCAACAGTGTGAGGAGGACTACATGCGCTGGTGAGAGTATGTAGTGTTACGACGTGTGCGAGTGGCAGCTGTATGGACTGGGTGTTGCATGCAATTTTCGTTTGCTAAAAACGAAGTCAATCCACGATACGAGCAAACAGTCTTCAAAAAAATAGCCTACCTTTTCAAGAAAAACAAAACAGAATGCAAGAACAACAACGATTTTTACAGTCGAAATGTGCGTCGGCGAAACACGTTGAAAATCATAGATAACACAAGGTATGTGGCATACAAAGTATGTTTGCGTATATTTATGTCTGTTCCGGTAGATTTCCGAATGTCCAGTTCTCACTGGGGGTGATTCAGATAAGGATGGTTCTGGAGAGACACGTCGTCTATGGTTCCTTGCACGTTGTCGCGTGGTGAGGGACGTGAGGACAGTTGGTTTCCTTCGTTCAGAAGGCAGTTTGACTGGTCAGGTAATGGGCAGGTAGCCCGGCGGGTTGATGAACAGTTGTCTAGATAAATCGAACCAGTTCCGTTTCTGTTAAAAAAAAAGTGGAACCTTGTCCGGGAAATGACAAGGAACACCGAACGGATCAGGCGAAAGTAACAGGACGAGACTGTGGATTCTTTTGAGCGTTGTACTAATGCGTAGGTGATGGTAAGTAGGAGACCCGAGTCTAATCCTCGTAGTACAAGGTTCGAGGAATATAAGGGGATGCGTCACGTGGAGTATGATAGTGTAAGCGAATGGTAAGCAATCGGCTTACACGAACGCCTTGTTTTGAAGATGGGACGGTGCGTAAAGGATATATTATCCTTACAGATCTTTCCTTCATCTCTACTGCAGATAACTTGGGCCTGATGCCATACCGACGAAGGATTGTGTCAGTCAGTGAGTGCTATCCCTAAATCGATATCTTGCCAAGTGTGTTCACCTCTGAACAGTCGGCCGACCTATTCCTGTTCAACGCTGCGAAAAGCCGTCGTTGGAGGAAATCGAAAGAGTGCAACAGATGTATATCGAGGAGTTGACCAGGTGGGTATTCCATACCCATTTCATCGACATTGTCGAGCTTACTCGTGGTTAATGCAGGATCTGGAACACTTACAAGGATTTTGACTGATAAGCACCGCTCTATCTTTTCATTTCCGAGGCTCACTGCTGGACATGATCCCCACAAATCCTCCGAGAGCAAAGGAAAGGCGAATGTCAATACTCCTAGTTCGGTAAGTTAGGCCGTCTTTTTCTAATTACCATCGTCTTCTGAAACTTGCCGACATTACAGAGGTTCTTCAGGTTTTCCGATTCCGACCCATTGAATCCGCTGGCCGGCATTCGGGATTATAGCTTTGCTCACATTCACAGTGATGATGTTCATCCACCTTTCTCGCCGCGCGATGCCTCCACATGTCGTCCTACTCCTCTCTCGCGCCGCTCGTCTGCTCTTGTCCACGGTGCAGGCGGAAATAACTATCTAGTCTCCAGGGGAGCAGCTTCCAGTAATATTTCCGGGATCATTGACATTGTGGTATGGAGCATATTTTTTGCGCTTCTGTGTTCTTATAATCGCACTTCCAGAGCGGAGATCAAGGCCGGCACCTCGCATCTCTTGCCCTCGATTCTTTGGCGTATAAGTCCACCAATACTACGTCGACCAACTCGACCAGCGGTCACGCTAGTAATGGTTCCTTCCCTCTCAATGTGTCAAGTACAAATGGGACGCAGTTCTACTTGGTCGATGCTAATGACAACTCATCCGACAACCCTGGTATTTATCCATTTACATTGGTTTCATCGCCGAACTCAAATATCTCCATAGCAAACGCGACGAAGCACGTCATGGTCCAAACTGATATGTTTAATTCCCTCTACTGTGCGACTTTCGACCCGAACCCATCTGGGCCCGAGCCAATGATGATGGAGATGTGCAATCCGTTGCCATAGGAGAACAACGTCAAAAACCTGGATTACTCATATAACAACGGCATGGCGCCTATCGTGGACTACACCATTTTGGCAGCGGATCCACACAAGAGTCAGATCTTCGAGTACAATCCCTCTACTGGTGTCATCAAGCCGATGTGGACGAACAGCGACGGCAGCACTTCCTCGCATGCGATGTTTGTTGAGCGGGATAGTACGAACACCAGCTCTACGTCTGCGCCTCAGCCCACTACTTCCTCATCTGCACCAGAAGCACAGAACGTGACTCTTGTGTTCCGGCCTTCGAATCATGCGGTCTCTGCACCTCCACCTTCTACCGATGCTGCTGAATCGAGCGCAGACGATGTGGTGACGACGACAATTACCACGACGGCTGTCTACACTGCCACCGCAACCCCGTCTTCATCTTCGTCGTCCGCTGCTGGAAGTCCTGTGGCCGCTATCGCTGGGCTTACCATGACATCTTCATCATGCTCGTCAATGCCAACAGCATGCAGTTCGACATCGACATCGACACCCTCTCCTGCTATCCACGCTGCTGCTGCTGCTGCTTCAAGCGCGGGTTCGCTTTCTTCGAAAGCAACTTCCACAGGCCCCGCCCCCATTCAACCTACATCATCATTGATGCCACCCTCTCCTTCTGTCCACGCTGCTATCGCCGCTTCAATCCCGGGGTCGTTATCTTCTCAAGCAACCTCCACAGTCCCTGCGACTACCGCCCAACCGACATCTTCATCTATCCCGCCCTCTTCATCTATCCCGCCCTCTTCATCTGTCCACGCTGATATCGTTGCTTCAAGCCCGGGGTCGTCATCTTCTCAAGCAACCTCCACGGGCTCGGCGACATCGACCTCGCAGCCCGTGAGTGGCTCACTGGAAATTGAGTTCGTCCCGATTGCGGATTTCCCGTCTTCTGCGTCCATCACATCATCTTCCCCGTCGTCCTCATCTTCTTCCTCTACCTCCTCTGCCCCCTCTACCTCCTCTACCTCCTCGTCGCCATCCACAACGCCCGGCCGGATGAACGCGGCTGCAATCGCTTCAGAAATCGCCAACTCTCATTCCAGCGCTTCTACCGCGATCGGCACTAACACAAGCAGTGCTTCTGCTAGTTCAACGGCTGCGCCAACAACCACCACAAAATAGGTAGGTATCTTATATCGAGAACGTACTTAGATAAGTAAATTAGACTATAATTGTATCACTGCAATGGACAGATTGTCATGCGAATCATATTGTCGCTATAGGAGAGAGCAAATACGTTTTGGAACTTGCTTTCAAGTCAAGAGATTGATCCGTATACCCTTGTTTTTTGTCTCTGCAAAGCGCAAACAAACAAAATTCATAAACGATAAACAACTGACTGTACATGCTAACATAATCTGTGCCGAACACTAGGCGGGCTCACTACTACTTCAAGGGAAGGAATGAGCATGAAGTATTCCGCCTTCTCCCTGTCATAATTTAAGGCTCTTGAGTATGGATCACCAAAAGCCAGGGACTCCAGGGGACATTTCGATCGTGCCAAAAATGCCTTGAACACCTCATGACACCAATCAAGCGATGAACAGCTAGCCGTAAGCTCATGCAAATTGGGGAGCGTGAGGGCGTTTAGTAGGTCGGAGAGGTCTGGAATGCTTGTAATGCTTCCAGAACTACTGATGTGTAAAGATTGAAGCTTCGTGTGCGTGTACGGTGGTATCGGTATGGGAATGGGACATCCAGCTATGAGAATCCTGGCCGAGGAAAGGTTGGGACCCTGCTGAAGCAACTTGGGGAGTACATTCAGTCGAGTTAGAGTGATCTCAATGTGCGTCAAGTGGTGCCATCCGGGTTTGAAAGAAGCAAACCGGTTGAAGTCATCCCAGCGGAACATGAACCATCTCCCTACCATTTTGAGACTGCGCAGTGTGAATGAGCGTCTCAAAATAGATTGCGCAGTAGCCGTCCTCTCAATGCCGAAGTTGTGGTTATTCCAGAATATGGTAAGCTCCTGAAGTGCTGGGAGGTTGTTTAACAATAGGTCGCGTATGGCGGTGCAGTAAATGTCGATACGAAGAGACAAGATTTGATTCGTGTAAGGCTGAAGAAGGTCTGTCAAGCGATATAAGCTCCACATGAGTGCCAATGACAGTGGAAGCCCTTGCGATCGCTCGAGCCACGTGTTGTAGCGGAAGGCTTCCCGCTGCCAATGCTCTTGGTTTTTGCTCATATACCCAATGGACAGTCTGCACCACAAACATGGCATGTCCACAGCAACCTCCCTCCATCTCCGGCATAATCTGGTCAACAGCATGGGAGAACGTAGCTTTGAAGGGACCAACGCCTCATAGAATGGCGGGAGTATGTACATAAATATGTCGGATAAGAGTTCAACTGGTAAACGAGAGACAGCCGGTCCAAGTCCCTCGTGTAAGGTCATGGAGTGGTGCTGGTCATCGGCGATGATGGCGGAAACGCTCTGGCCAGTGCGCATGACAGAGTGGTCAGGATCACCGGAGTACAGTACTGGTGGTTCAAGGTCTGGCATCTAGTGATCGTCAATGTTATGACATCGAATGTATCAGAACAGGCATGCCATTGGTCGTGACTGCGTCAAAAGCGATTAATTGTTAATTTATGAGACACGAGTAATTACAACTGGGCACTTACAATATTTTGTTTCTTCGCTGGCACGATCCGACCTAACTTAGGCCAACCGACGCAGAGGAGCGATGCTGGGGATAGCAAAAGGTTGACCGTTGAAAGAATGCTGAACCAACATATGATAGGGGTGAATCAAGGGTGAATTCAAGGCGACAACTGGCAATGAGCTGAGTTTAAAATAAGTAATGTAGCTCCTCGTGACGGATGTTCCTGCGGGCCGCTTTTCGATGTTTGTTTGCTCTGTGACTTTCAGATTTCTCATCCCATAGTGATCGCGACAGCAGAATTTCCGATGCCCGCCGTGCAGCCATATGAGTCGACTCTTCTCGTGGTCATCTAGCCGGGGTCCCTTCCAAACATTTCGGATAGGCGTTCACACCACCACCTAAGCGGCAGCTACCTCACAGGCTACACGCTTGTCAGATATCAAAAAAAATGTTATCATTACAATAGGGAAGAAAATAAAAGTCCACTTGACAAGTCTATTCTATGACCTTCAGTCGTCGTGTACATAAAAAGGACACATGGCCTCAGTTGGCTTTGGCATACCGATCGAGTTTGCTGAAGCCATCGACTCGCTTTGCAACAATCCAAGCTAGGCGTGGATGTGGGTATGAGCCACAAGAATATCCCCTTAATGCACTATAATGGCAAGGCGATTTGTTTGCTGTGGTTTGCGAAGGTCAACGCGTTTTAATTTATATAGGGACGCGATGGTCGGTGGACGGTAGAATTATTTCTAACCTGAAATCTCCATCTCCAATATCTCGACCTCCTTCACATTTTTAAATGTTCATGACAACAAACATGAATACATTCAACTCCGAAGTCCATTCATCTACGGTCCTAATCCAGTTTGGAAATTCGCACAGCAGATTTGCATCGGCTCTTTCGCGCCTGCCAACCGAAACCCTATGCAACATTTTCGTTCACTGTCTCCCGGAAGACGACTCAGAGTACTTGTCGCGCGCATCAAATGTGGCTATGTTGACCAGAGTATGTCGACGATGGAGGGAGGTTTCCGTGAGCATGTCCAATTTGTGGTGTAGACTGTCTGTAGGCAAAGACTGGCAGCAGACAGCCTTCTGCTATGAAACTTGGCTCAGGCGATCACGGGGACGTCCGCTATCATTGGCACTCGATTGTCACACAGACCACTGGACCCAGCTACGAAGCCTGCTTGGGCCGTACATCAATCAAGTTTCGTCTCTCTCTCTGGATTTTTCCTCCGGTGCAAACCAACCAGAAGTTATGATAGCAGACTTCTTCGCACTTGAGAAGCTGACCATATCCACGGACGGCTCCGATCTTACGCCAGCGGTCGCCAAATCTATCTCGCAATTACCGCTCACTCTGCGCAGTCTCAAAACAACGAACTTGTTGCCAGTGTTCGACCTCGAGTACAATCCCACATGGGCCCATCTCACAAATGTCGAGATCAATGCACATGGACTAAACACACTCCCTTCCCTCCTAAATCTATGCCCCCACCTCTCTTCTTTGACGATTGTTGCGGTAATCACCGAAATCGAGGCCTTGGAGCCATCGACGCACACCACACTTCAATCCATACGTATTATTTCCGGAGATTTGTTTGGGGACACAGTCGAAGATCTTTGCCTCTTCGATGCTCTCTCACTCCCGAATCTACGAGCGCTCGAAGCTCGCTATGTACAACCGTGGCCTCATGAAGAGTTCAAGGAATTTTTAACACGGTCAAAGTGTCCCCTGGAGAGCCTTACTTTCGGCGATGGGGTTGTGACAACTGATGAGCAGCGCGCGGAATACGTTGCCCTTATCCCTTCCCTCAAAATTGTAGTAGATCCTATGCGTACAGAGTTTTACTTTTGAGTTATACAGATGGTTGTTATGCACATATTTCGCAGATGAAATCTGGCTTATGCTATGTTTATTCTAACTCGTCTCTTGAGGAAATGTTTGACCTACATAGACGGTGCCAAGTTGGACAACGCAAACTTACTTGGTGGGGCTTTGTAATACCCCCTCACATCGGTTTGATGTTTCAATTCTGCTCTACCACGTATGTTGCGTAGTTACAGTGTGACATCCTCGCATTTGACGCCGTGATAGGTCTCAACGCTCCAAGGGGCGTAAAAAGCCTGCGTAACATCTTTTATGCTAACTATTAAACGGATACTCACGTCCTATTCCTGTCATACAGGGACCCACCGATGAATTAATGACAGACGTCTGTAATGGGACCAGTGGTATTAGTGCCCTACTTTGGTTGGCTGTCCGGAAGATCTATAGAGACGTCAAGGAGGGTTTCAGCCCGACCATCATAGTTCGGAAAGGCTTCAGGGAAGGTGTTGGTGACGTCCGAATCAGCGGTGGTGACGCCCGAGTCAGCGATGGTGATGCCCGAATCGGCGGCGGCGGCAGGTTGTGCGGCGGTCTGAAAGTATGGATAAGACTCGTGTAGTGGCTTGGAATAATAATATTTAGGTCAAGTATGCGTAGTTGATGAGATAGAAGGACTTACTAGAGCGGAATACTTGTGACTTACATCTATGCCCCGGAGGTCATTAATGAGAGTCTTGACGATTGCGGCAAGATTTTCAGCGAGATTTCGAATGCCCACCCCCGAATCTGAACTCTTCTCGGACGCCAAACCAACAGAAAATAACATAAAAACGGAGAATGCGAGAATAAGCAATCCCAGGGACACCGGACCTGTGATATATATTAATTAAGTAATGTGTTGGTTCCTGAAAGAAATAAAAACCACTGACCGTCTTCCCATCCGCTCGCGAAGGCGAGATCGACGGAGAAAGTAGTCACGGATAAGCACATCAGCAGTGGAGCAGCGCAGCTGCTCATAAGGTTTGGGTCCATAATTACCATGAATATTAAGAACACGCAGGAGATGAATGTCATTGCCGTCAAAATAAAGACAGGGTGCGCAGGCATGAAGATGACCACTGCCATTGTAGCCGCGACAACCACAAACGAGAACGTCAAAATAGTGAATCGTTGACAGGCTGAGGTCATATTTGGATAACGGTTGATATGATGAAAATGTGGAGATGTGTATGGGATTACTTCCATATTATACTCCCTTAGGGGCTTCTGGAGATGATGTCATTTTTAGGAGTTGTCTAGTTATCGAATCAGACTTCTAGCTCACTAATCACGATCTGGATCTCAACCGAAAAATGGGATACAACGCACTGAACGGTTCTCGCTCAAAATGCCTACAAGATCTCCATTTTCTGGGTGAAGACCTAGGACACCATCCGTCACATCAGCACCTAGTGCAGTAGCTCCGTCGTGAACACGCTCGAACTCCCTGAACGAACGACTTACTCTAGAGATGATTCGGGATCAAAGTTTTCATCCCTAAGTCCAGTTGCAAAAGTTTCTAGCAACGAACTTGTCCGATCGAGGATGATCGCCAGCTGAGAGACACGGAATGCGTGGTCTGTGGTGGGATTGACTGACGGTCAGCACACGGAAAATAGACGCATACATGTACATTTTATCCTTCCTCCGTGGACGCTAGGTTTGAGGTGGGATTCTACGCGGCGCTTGGTGAGAAAGAGGTCGTGACATGGCTTCATGCATGGGTGCAGGAGCGGTCAAGTCGATATAAGTGGTTGAGGGGGGGAATCGAATAATGTGCGTTTGACATTCACTAACAAAGCAGCAGGTATATCCTACAATGACACGTTTCTTCGCCCACCTCTGGCTTTATTTGCAGATGACTGACGTTCCAGTGCCGCCGCTCGCGACCCAAGTCATTTCACGAGGCTTACCTACAAGTGTCGGAAGTGAAAGTTTGTCCTTGGTCGTTTTGTTCCATATTAATTTCCTTGTCAGGCTGCAGGCCAGCGAGAGTTGGTTCAACTTGGTTACAATGTATGCCGGCGCACTATAGGAGAGCGGTGTTCTTGATGTCGCTCGAACTTACCAAGTCTTAGTAACCACATATTATCAAGGAAGAATTACGCACCAGTCCATCGTACAAAGTCCTTGTGTAAACAGCCAACTCATTTGTATGTTCGACAACGCGATGTATAATCATTCAACCGAACGGTGCTTGCAGTACTAGTACACAATGGAAAAACAAGTATTGTACAGACACGATTTGACTAACTGAAAACTAGGGACAACAGGGATTGAAAGCAATCAGGATAACATAAAATACAAACTAGACACCTATGTGAACAAACACGATCTGCTGTTCTAGCGGAATCTTCTTGCGCAACGATTTCACAGCCTTGTGCAACGCCACCGCAGCCCGTGTGCAGTCCAACCTCCCTGACCCATCGACCAGGTTGCCGTAAAAAGCGGACACAACCTGTCGTGCAACCTCGTCGTCGACAGACCACATTGAACCTATTACACTGCGGAATCCGGAGAATTGCATGGCCGCAGCGAGATGAATCGACTCGTCGGGACTCATCTCACCGCCCACAGTAGTGTGGCAGGCCGATAGAAATGCAAACTGAGGGTTCTGCCAGTTAGATCGAATGACATCCTTTATCATTAAAGGCCCGTCGCGCATGGCAAAGGAAGACTCAAATGGTTGTTGTCGATTCGGCATTCCGTGGCAGGCTAGATGGAGCCACTGATTATGATTTAGTGCATCGAGTGCACCTTCAACTGTCGCATCGCCGTCCGCGAGCGACGTGACCGAGACAACGGGTGCGAGATGCTGAGCGACTACGGCTAACTCGGGAGCGACATGTTCGAGTGCCTTCGCCCCTTGCGGGTTTCCTTGACCAATGGCAACAAAATGTTGTGGGGACGCATCTCCAGAAACCTGCTGTCTTGCACGAACAAGTGTCGCCAAAGTGGGGGTGTAAGAGGAGACGTAAATGTCAGATAAATTGTCTTTCTTCTTCTCGTAGGGTCCTGCTGCATGTAGAGGAAGCAGCGTAAAATCGGCAGTGGGACACCACCAAATACGTGAGCCAGGGTGAACTTTAGACTCTTTGAGAGCTTGGACCACGGAGTCAACAACTTCATGCCAAAGCTTCCGGAGGATGGTGACAAGCTTGTATAGCTGATTAGAAGAACCAAATTGTTCTGAAAGGGACTGAAACTCGGAAGACAATTCGGAGACTTCGGTCTGCGCAATATGAAGTGGAACGTGGACAGGATCTTGACCACTGAGGATAATCAAGGCATCGCAGCTGTACTGACTAGCATTGACGATTACAACCGGGCCTTCTTCAGCGGATCTCTGGAGGTCAGAGAACAGCGGGGGCAGGAGAAATCGAGGAAAGTCAGGCAGCATGCGGATGCGTGAGATTACGTCTTCCCATTGCATGGTCAATTGCCGGATTTGCGAAGACGGGTCTTCCGTAGACCGGTCGGACACGTTACGAAGGCGAAAACTGAGCTGCTTGATCTCTTCTGCCAAGGCTGCACCGGTGTCACCAGACATGGAGAGTTCATCGAGGGGTGTGCGGAAGCGTGCCAAATGAGTCCAGAATACTGCACGGCCTTGCTCCATCATTTCCACAGCAGTTGTGAGCGCGCCATGACGAACACTGCACGAGAAAGCGTCCATTCCAAGGGAAGCAGTGGCCATCCTGACAACATCGAAATGGAGTGGAGAAGATGACAAGATAGTAATATGCTGATCTAGAAATTTCAATGCAGTTTGATAGGCAACCAATACAGAGTCATGATTCGTCTCCTCGGCCGAGGTGGCCCATGACTTGGCAGCAGTAAGATCCTCACGAGAGACTGCATGAGCTACATGAGAGAGTTGCGCATACAGCCTAAATGCCTCATCGAGGTCAGACAGGGCACCTCGCTGCTCGAATCTGGTTCGAAGGCAGAGGGCAAGACTGTTGAGTGACATTGATCGATCAGAATGACCAGGAGTATAAAGGAGTAGTGCAGCCCGAAGGAGCTGGATGGCTTCGTCAAGGTCAGAAGGGACACCTCGCTGCGCGAATCTGCTATAAAGGCTGAGGCCAAGATTGTTGAGAGACGTTGGTCGAAGAGAACGACCGGGTGGGCAGATGAGTAGTGTGGCCCGTTGGAGCTCGATGGCCTCGTCAAGGTCAGACGGGACGCCCCGCTGCTCGAATCTGGTTCGAAGATAGAGGGCAAGACTGTTGAGTGACATTGATCGATCAGAATGACCAGGGGTATAAAGGAGTAGTGCAGCCCGAAGGAGCTGGATGGCTTCGTCAAGGTCAGAAGGGACACCTCGCTGCTCGAATTTGTTATAAAGGCTGAAGCCAAGATTGTTGAGAGACGTTGGTCGAAGAGAATGACCGGGTGGGCAGATGAGTAGTGTGGCCCGTTGAAGCTCGATGGCCTCGCCAAGGTCAGACGGGACGCCCCGCTGCTTGAATCTGTCAGAAAGGCTCGTGCCAAGATTGTTGAGAGACGTTGGTCGAAGAGAATGACCGGGTGGGCAGATGAGTAGTGTGGCCCGATGGAGCTCGATGGCCTCACCAAGGTCAGACGGGACGCCCCGCTGCTTGAATCTGTCATGAAGGCCCGTGCCAAGATTGTTGAGAGACGTTGGTCGAAGAGAATGATCGGGTGGGCAGATGAGTAGTGCAGCCCGAAAGAGTTCAATGGCCTCGTCAAGGTCAGACGGGACGCCCCGCTGCTTGAATCTGTCATGAAGGCTGAGGCCAAGATTGTTGAGAGACGCTAGTCGAAGGTCATGACTGGGGGGGCAGATGAGTAGTGTGGCCCGATGGAGCTCGATGGCCTCGTCAAGGTCAGACGGGACGCCCCGTTCCTTGAATCTGTCATAAAGGCCCATGCCAAGATTGTTGAGAGACGCTAGTCGAAGGTCATGACTGGGGGGGCAGATGAGGAGTGCAGCCCGAAAGAGCTCGATGGCCTCGTCAAGGTCAAACGGAACGCCCCGCTCCTTGAATCTGTCATAAAGGCTGAGGCCAAGATTATTGAGAGACGTTGGTCGAAGAGAATGACCGGGTGGGCAGATGAGGAGTGTGGCCCGATGGAGCTCGATGGCCTCGTCAAGGTCAGACGGGACGCCCCGCTCCTTGAATCTGTCATAAAGGCTGAGGCCAAGATTGTTGAGAGACGTTGGTCGAAGAGAATGACCGGGTGGGCAGATGAGTAGTGTGGCCCGTTGAAGCTCGATGGCCTCGCCAAGGTCAGACGGGACGCCCCGCTGCTTGAATCTGTCATAAAGGCCCGTGCCAAGATTGTTGAGAGACGTTGGTCGATCAAAATGACCGAGAGGGCAGATGAGCAGTGCAACCCGAAAGAGCTCGATGGCCTCGTCAAGGTCAGACGGGACGCCCCGCTGCTTGAATCTGTCATAAAGGCCCATGCCAAGATTGTTGAGAGACGTTGGTCGATCAGAATGACCGAGAGGGCAGATGAGCAGTGCAGCCCGAAAGAGCTCGATGGCCTCGTCAAGGTCAGACGGGACACCACGCTGCTTGAATCTGTCATAAAGGCTGATGGCAAGATTGTTGAGAGTTGTTGATCGATTATGACCGGGGAGACACCTCTGCAAGGCCGCTTGGCACTTTTCCACCCAGGTCGCCATGCTATCGTAATCGAGTTGCACGATAATTGTCAATAACGCAGGGAGGATGAAGCCGAAGAGTGACACTGCCTTTCATGAGCACAAAATCCAGGTAGATATGTTTGAATTGCGCACGTACATAGAAATTCGACCACTGAAACCTGAATTCGAGGTGAGGCGCTCACCGTGGTCGTTTGAACTTGTGTACAGCCTCATGCAGAACCGGATCTTCTTCGCTTTCTCGTTGGCGGGTACCTTGACAGGCTTGGCCTGGCTTGGCAAATTGGCAGGTGCATTTTTGCTTGTTTTCGACATTAATATTGTGCGTCGCAACGTTCGTGAAGTTGATGTTCGAAAATCGACATCAGACATTTTCGAAGATACCTGCAGGTGCGTTAATCCTATTGGACTCTCTAATGATTTTGCAGATAACATTAATGCTATGGCTGGTGGTGATACCTCGCTATTTGGGCACACAATCAGACCTCGTCAGGAAGGAGTTGGACTAGTTTGGTTGGCCGAGAAGTTCTAGGTGCGTTCTTCAGGATCTTGGGTGGATTTCCGCTCACTCATTACTCAAATAGACCAAGTAGTGCATTCGTGCTCTATCGATCGTAGACGCCGCGGAAGATGGCTTCCCCAGCAGATATCTACATCGTTCTCGGTCCTAGTATGCCTGCAAAAAGAACCTTTGACCCTCGTGCACCGACATCACTCATACGGTGTTGAATAGGATGAGAACAACGCAAACGCGACTGTGGTAACCAGCAGCGTTGAATAGGGCTATGTCTAGCATAGGGTCCACGAGGACCACGACCCCAATGGACAACAAATTTGAACTTTAAAAAACCAGTAGCGAATGTATCAGGACTATGCATACTAGTCCTGACAAAGTTTGCGCAGGCGCGAAGGTGACCAGCGCCATTGTAGCCGCGACAACCACAAACGCAAATGTCAATTGCAATACTGACTTTCGCGTTTGTGGTTGTCGCGGCTAGATGACGGTTGATATGATAATGAGTACATATAGTTCTAGGATTACTTCCATATTTATACTTCTAGTCTAGAGATGATGTCATGTCATGTCTTGGAGTTGTCTAGAAGCTTACTAATCACGATCTGGACAATAAATATGAATTTTTAAGAAAACCAGTAGCGAATGAAGCATACTAGTCCTGACAAAGTTACCTTGTCGAATCACAGTCGACCGAAAAATGGGATACAACGTACTGGACAGTTCTCGCTCAACATGCCTACAAGATCTCCATTTTCTGGGTGAAGACCTAGGCCACCATCCGTCACATCAGCACCTAGTGCAGTAGCGCCGTCGTGAACACGCTCGATAAACTCCCCGAACCAATGCCGCTGGCCAGGAGCCACGTTCACGAACAAAGTATAATCTGGCCACTCCCGCTGGTCAGGCCGCTTGCAAAGTAGGTGGTGAACATTAGATTCGGGAACCTTTGGCACTGGCAGGTCAGGGAAGAGTGACTTGTGGTACATGCTTAACCACCAATGCCCGAGGCTTCAGCAGTGCTATTGGCTGCGGCCGATAATATGAAAGGTTCCTGTGTTTGACCTGGCTTTTTATACAATGACATAATGAAGCCGCGGACTTGTACGTTTGTGGTTAGAAGTTGACCAGTTTATGAGCGCCATCAAGCCAGAATTGAGTCTGTCAGCGAATTTATTCAGAACGGTGGAGCGGAGCGACTCATCGGGGTTCGGACGGATCAGGTTTGAGCGAGAGTAAGGGAAGAGCTAGCGGAGCGAGGAGCAGGAGTAGCAGAGATGGTCATGACAATAGTAGCACGCATGTACACCATGGAGACAACGACGACATCATCGGTTTCCTCAGTTCTCTCCAGAACGCAGCGCTGACCAGTCCAACGGATCATGAAAAGCGTTGACGCCAGTGTCAAGTGAGATGACAAGGCAGTCACGTCGGCCAGAGGGACCAACCGGTAACTCGAAGAAATCAATCACGTTCATCAGGATATCCAAGCCAAGCTAATGAATTACAGTAACCGTGAACCAGATCTGTAGAGTGCGGTCCTCAAAGCTACGAAAGGGGTAGATCAGCATTATATGGTGATGAGCATACCGTCGCCGTCAGATCAACTCACAAAAGCACTCCGTCCTCGTCGATCCGCATCTGGTTGCCCGTACGCAGCCACCCATCGATGAAAGTTTCCCGCGTCGCCTTGGTATTTCCCTTGTATCCCAACACCACAGTGCCCTCGCGTACAAGGAGTTCACCCGCCTCGTTGGGACCTGCGAGAGACCCGTCGGGACGAAGAATTCGAGCTTCGACACCGGAGACAAGAATTCCGACGGAGCCAGGTTTGTTCTTGGCTCGTCCATCGAGCATGCCAGGGAGGGGTTTCATGGCAACCGCTGTCTACCCCGGGCAGTCAAGTTGGGGGGTTGCAATGAGTAATGGAAGACCGCTTACGAATTCGGACAAACCATAGCCTGTAGAAGTAGATAGTAGTACAGTGACCCACGCATAAGAGGGGAGTGGGGAATGCACCTTCGTTTATTCCTTCCACGTCTGGGAAGCGGGGGCAACTGGGCAGCGAGCTGGGGCGGGAGGTGCGCAGCACCACTGACTATGCCTTTAATCGAGCTCCAATCAGCAGTTTTGAAGCGGGGATGGTGTACCAGCTGATGTACAAGCGATGGGACGAGGCCTTAAATCGTGACGTGGTATCTATTCGCGACACAAGCATTAATACCAGTAGCACAGCTGGAGAAGACCTAGGGCCCTAGTGCATTAGCGCCATCGCGGATACGCTCAACAAACTACCTGAACGAATGCTGCTGTCCATTAGCCACGTTCACGAACAAAGTATAATCTGACCACTCCTGCTGGTCAGGCCGAACCGCGGAGTTGAAGGGTAGAGAGCTCAGGCTGTAGAGTTGAAAAGAAGCAAATTAGCTTATCTAGTCACGTGATAATGGACTCGGAAGCGTGACGGAATTGAGCGTATTTGGTCTTCATTTCATTTCAACGAACACTGCAGCACAAGACGCAGATTCAGTCGCCCGCTGAACACCGAGCCCAATAACACTGGACTATCCGGGATGGACAAAGGCCATGATTTGACACCCTTCTCAAGAACTATTTCCGCATCTTCTCTTAGAGGGCGATTGACAAAGTTAACCGGTGCACCATTGCGTCCTGTAGCTGCCCTTCATGCCAGCATCAAGTTCGTATCAGATATCTTGTTTATGCTGTTAGCTGATTGTATCACCGCACTCAACTTGAATTGTGCTTTCTGTGCTACCCAGCTTTGTGCCGACCAAGATACCGCGGAAGAGGAGACTGCAGATGATGGTCGTTGCCGTGTGGTCGATGTTGTTAGTGATGTCTTGTTTCGTGTTCCTGATGCTCTGGTATGTGCTGCAATTCTCTATGCCACCATGTACTCACTGAAACGAACGTACCAAAGCTCTATACCGGCGCTATGGCCGTTCTTGGTCATGTACCTCATCTGGATTTTTTGTATAGACAAGAGCCCGTCATACGGAAACCGACTCACTCCATGGTTCCGGTCTCTCAAGGTCTGGCAGTATTTTGCAGAATATTACCCTGCGTCGTAAGTGTAGTTCTTCATGTTTTATGGATATATTTTACAACCGTTTACGCGACCATGTAGGCTCCTGAAGGTAAGGCAGATGAGCTACTTCGCGCCCTAGAATACTCAAATATTTGCTCAATGCAGGAGTGCGACCTACCTGCTGATCGCCCATACGTGTTCGGGTATCATCCTCATGGTAGTCTCGTTTCCCATCAGTGCCAAGTATCACTCATTTTGAGATTGAAACAGGCATAATTGGGATGTAAGACGGTATTCTCTCCTCTGTGTCCTAGCATACTTCTGACCACTTCACCAGGGGTGCACTCGCCACCTTCGCCACCGAAGGCGAGTGTTTCATTATTCCCTCAGCATCAATGTCTCAACTTTATCTCCTATCAGCCACCGGCTTCTCCCAAGCCTTTCCCGGCATTAAGCCGCACTTACTTACGCTCACCAATAATTTCCACATTCCTTTATACCGCGAGGTTATTCTGGCTCTTGGGATCAGCAGCGTCTCGAGAGAATCTTGTTCTAACATTCTCTCCAGCGGGCCAGGTCAAGCAATCACTATCGTGGTTGGGGGTGCTGCTGAGAGCTTGAGCGCACGGCCGGGTACGGCCGATCTAACATTGAAGCGCAGGTACGCCCCAATCCCGGAATATTACGAACTGGCACATGATAAATGAATCATAGATTGGGTTTTATCAAGGTCGCGATCCAGCATGGGTGAGTTGATATAAGGTTTGATAGAACATGTCATCGATACATTTCAGAGCGGACCTTGTGCCTGTGTTCTCGTTCGGCGAGAATGATGTAAGTTACACACAATTCCGTCCCTGTGCGTCGTCGATAACGATTATTTGTCAGATATACAATCAAATGCCGAACGAGAAAGGCACCACGATATATGCTCTGCAGAAGAAATTCCAGAGCATGTTTGGGTTCACCCTTCCACTCTTTCATGGACGTGGTCTGCTGAACTGTGAGTTATGAGCTTACTTGACTAGTGATCTTTCCTTCATCTCTGCTGCAGATAACTTGGGCTTGATGCCGTACCGACGACGGATTGTGTCAGTCAGTGAGTGCTATCTCTAACTTGTTATCTTGCCAATTGTGTTCACCTCTGAACAGTCGGCCGACCGATTCCTGTTCAACGCTGCGAAAAACCGTCGTTGGAGGAGATCGAAAGAGTGCAACGGATGTATATCGAGGAATTGACCAGGTGGGTATTCCATGGCAATTTCATCGACAGTGTCGAGCTTACTCGTGGTTAATGCAGGATATGGAACACTTACAAGGATGAATTTGCCAAGACACGCTTGAGGGAGCTCAGTATCGTTGATTAAAATTGACAGACAGAATTTGGTGCTACCGACGTGATGACCGGCTAGCTACGCCGAAAACCAATTGTATTGTTAGAATGAATAGAGTCCCGCGAACCAGGGTCGGTTGCGTTTTGCTACCAAGATTGGCCAGTCAGATGCATCGAGGCAGGGGCGAAGGCACCAATACACCTGTCAATACAATTTGAGGTCCTAATCCCGGGTCTCTACCAACTGTGAATCCTCAGCGGATATATTCCAGCAAGTACGTCAAGACAGACATCCCATCAAATCTCTTCGTCATCAAAATTGATCTCTTCCACAGGGAAGTCACCGACTGTGACCTTTGCAGGGCGTACAAACACCCCGTAGTTCGGGCGACATGTGAAATATTGCACTCCCTTGAGGCTAAATATCTAAATGAGCATCGACGGACAGTGCGAGGGTTCAAACTCACGACCCATCATTCTTGCCCATTGGCTCATCATACTCGACGCCTACCCAAAGCCCAACAGCAAACTCAGCCTGACCAACAAACCGAACTGTACCGCGCTTGTGCAAGCCCGGCTCTGTTGAATCCACTTCGCAGCGCGACCCGATGGGGATGTTTACGGTAGGTTCAGGAGTGGGTTCTATTGAAGGGGGCGCAAAGCGCCCTACTTTATGTCTTTGCTTGTAAGCCAACACAGAGTCTTTGAAATAAAGAGAATCAGAGCTAGTGGTAAAACATAAGGGATGACTGATGAATCACCAGTTCGTTGTGCGTATGCGTCGTCGCTGAGCTCGAACTTCTCTACTTGCGATACATCGGTGAGCTGACCCGTAAACGACGTCGAAGGATTCGTATCTGCGACCTATGCACGATGCCCACATATCACGAACAACCTCTCCATCAAAACTCAAACGGAAAATACCTTGATCGTCTGGAAATCCCGAACGCTGTAGTACCCAAGCGGCTTAGCATCATCATCCAGCTGCGCGACGACCTGCGAATCGTCATCGCCATTATGAAGCGATATTTTCTGGTTCTGGACGGGAATGCCTGTGATAAGCTCTAATTTTGTCTGATGATTTGATTGTGTGCACGAAATCACGATGATATGCGATATGCAAGGATATTATTTAGTGTCCTGGCAGGATGCGCATGGTAGATGGACTACACAACCTTGAGCTGCTCGATGGTCAGGTGGAGGTCAAAACGACGCTCGGAGCGGGTGTCTGGGGATACGACGAATAGTTTTACGATGGATGACATTTTGGATCGAGGATTGGCAACTGCTAGTTCCCGCTACTGTTACTGTGGGGGTGCGCAACGCCCGCAGGGCGTTCGTGATTCCCACGACGCCGTGAGAATGGATTTTGTGCATTCAAAGTGACACACTTTGAGTCGCGCTGCGGTAGCGTGTTTTCCAACACAACTACACCAAAAGCTATAGAGACTAGACACAGTTAGAGACCTCAGTCGTAGTGGAACGAACTTGATTAATGTATCTAGACACAGTTAGAGACTATATGTACTCGTAAGTGTCTGGCGGTACGGATATAAATGAACCAAACTTACCCTCAGTCGTAGTGGAACGAACTGAGGGATAAGAGCGGGAAAACGTTGACCATATGCGTCAGTATTCCTAATAATCAACTCCGCTTGTCGCGTCGCTCAACGGCACGAGCTCACGTGCTCCAACACTCCTCCTCGACGCGACGAGTACTCCTCGATTTCAGCACTGAATGCCCAAGCACGCGCGTAGTCGCTGGAAGTCTTTTCGTGGGAGCGCCTTGGTGAAGATGTCTGCGACATTGTCCTTAGACTTGACGTAGTGTAGTTTCAGTTGTCCGCGTGATACGCGTTCTCGAATAGCATGAACTTTGATGTCGATGTGTTTTACTTTTGAGTGATAGGACGCGTCCTCTGAGAGAGTGATGCCGCCAGTGTTATCGCATAGAAGAGGAGTCGCGGATGGTTGAGTAAATTCGATCTCGTTGAGTAGAGTGCGCAACCATGCAAGTTCCTGAGAGGCTTCGGACGCAGCTACGTACTCGGCTTCGCATGTTGAAAGCGACACTGTCTTCTGCTGGCGGGCGCTCCAGGTGACTACTCCACTGCCTAGGGAGAAACAGTAACCGCTGACAGACCGTCTGGTATCGGGGCAGTTAGCCAGGTCGCTATCAGTGAAACCAAGAAGGCGCGCGTTGTGTTCACCACCGAGGACCAATGTAGCGTCTCGAGAACCTTTCAAGTAGCGTACGACCCTTTTGGCTGCCTCCCAATGCACTGGGCCATACATCAGGCATTTGACCAGAATTTGATAATCATTTAGCTAGCTTTATTTAATGAATAATATGAATAATATGCATCACAATTGTAGACCACATGATAAAAGAATAGATAGGCAGGTTATGTAGGTGAAATCTGCCAAAGCTGTAATGTTGACGTGTCTATGGTATCAAGTTGTGATCTACTAACATACTGGTGTGTTGTTATCAGATGTGACAGTGTGCTCTGGTGTGACATTGGTTCACCATGGTCCATCGTAATGTTGATATTCTACCATACATATCTAGTGTTAGATAGGCAGGGTCCAGTGGCCAAAGCTACAATTGCTAACAGCATGCTTTGGTGTGACATTGGTTTGCCGCCATCTATCGTGGTGTTGATTTTCTACCGTCAATATCTAGCTTTAGATAGGCAGCTTCCAGTGGGCAAAGCTACAATTGCTAACAGTGTGCTTTGGTGCGACATTGGTTCACCGCCATCTATCGTGGTGTTGATTTTCTACCATCAATATCTAGCTTTAGATAGGCAGCTTCCAGTGGCCAAAGCTACAATTGCTAACAGTGTGCTTTGGTGCGACATTGGTTCACCACCATCTATCGTAATGATGATATTCTACCGTCAATATCTAGCTTTAGATAGGCAGCTTCCAGTGGCCAAAGCTACAATTGCTAACAGTGTGCTTTGGTGCGACATTGGTTCACCACCGTCTATCGTAATGATGATATTCTACCGTCAATATCTAGCTTTAGATAGGCAGCTTCCAGTGGCCAAAGCTACAATTGCTAACAGTGTGCTTTGGTGCGACATTGGTTCACCGCCGTCTATCGTGGTGTTGATTTTCTACCATCAATATCTAGCTTTAGATAGGCAGCTTCCAGCGGCCAACACTACAATTGCTAACAGCATGCTTTGGTGCGATATTGGTTCACCGCCGTCTATCGTGGTGTTGATTTTCTACCGTCAATATCTAGCTTTAGATAGGCAGCTTCCAGTGGCCAAAGCTACAATTGCTAACAGTGTGCTCTGGCGTGACATTGGTTCACCGCCGTCTATCGTAATGATGGTATTCTACCGTACACGTCTAGCGTTAGATAGGCAGGGTCCAGAGGCCAACACTACAATTGCTAACAGCATGCTTTGGTGCGATATTGGTTCACCGCCGTCTATCGTAATGATGATATTCTACCGTACACGTCTAGCGTTAGATAGGCAGGGTCCAGCGGCCAACACTACAATTGCTAACAGCATGCTTTGGTGCGATATTGGTTCACCGCCGTCTATCGTAATGATGATATTCTACCGTACACGTCTAGCGTTAGATAGGCAGGGTCCAGCGGCCAACACTACAATTGCTAACAGCATGCTTTGGTGCGATATTGGTTCACCGCCGTCTATCGTAATGATGATATTCTACCGTACACGTCTAGCGTTAGATAGGCAGGGTCCAGCGGCCAACACTACAATTGCTAACAGCATGCTTTGGTGCGACATTGGTTCACTGCCATCTATCATAATGATGATATTCTACTGTACACGTCTAGCGTTAGATAGGCAGTGCCCAGTGGCCAAATATATAATCACTGACAATGTGCTAGGGGATGATATTGAACCATGATAGCATATCATGATGGCGGGGTTCTATCAAGCATGTCTATGCATCAACAGTGTGCTGGCATTTGACACCGAGCTATCACATTGTAGCACCCTGGTGGAATTCTGTAAAATATGTCTAGCTTTAGATAGGTAGCTTACAATGGCAGTATCTGCTATCATCAGCAGTGTGCTGACATTTGACACTGAGCTATCATGCTATAGGAAGTAGTTGCTATTTTGTCAAAGATACATATTTTTACAATGATAGCCTGTGATGGTGATATCACATCAAGAAGATGCCCGGTTATCTTACTGTAGCAAGATGCTCATGTCTTGTCAGCCATGCACATGATTGCAAGGATGGCTTCTGATGGCGCCATCAATAACAGCCTATCTGGGTGCGATACCAAGTTATCTCATATTAGCACGTCAATGATCATATGCACAAATTCCAATAAAGATTTCATGTGTGGTATTTGACTCTATGGAAAGACTATTTATTGATGAATTACGAACTATTGACTACAAGGCATATAGAACAGCATAACATTATGAGACAACGAATCAATCAGCGTTAGCATCAGCGCGTGCACGAAGGGCAGCGCGTTTTTCCCGAATTTTGGATAGCGCGCTGTTTTTGCTGATACTCCGCTCTGAAGAGGAGGAATTGGGAAAAATGCGACTGTAAGGTGTTAATGTAGAGCTCGAAGATGAAGAAATATGATACGAACCGTGTCCACCACGTCATCAGGTCACTTACTTCCTCAATTTCCTCAGGGTCCTCCAACAGGTCAAGAATACTATGATAAAAATTTTCTGAGTCCGTAACAGTGTCCGTGCGTGAAAAAACAGATGAGGAGCTCAACGCGAACCGAACCTGGAGGATTAATCAGTAGGAGCGCACCATTACGAATGGTTTAGCTCACCTGTGTCGCAATGTAGGCCAGAGAACCTTTTGTGACAGATTTCATACCATGGAGGTATGCATTACCAGAGCGCGTGGCTTTCGGTTCCTTCTCCACGGAGCTTGGAGATGTAAAAACGTGTTTGAAACCCTGGAAGGGAAATAGAATTGAGCAAGAACTTGACCGCTAATAGTGAACTTACGCAAACGAGCAGCTCGCTCCTCATTAAACCGTGCCATGGAGCTTCGGGATCGTAAATATACCCAAAATATAAAAACATAGGCCATTGGTCACCACGGACCGCTGTTTCGCCGCTTTTAAGACTCTGTTTGGTTCTGGGGACTGTTATGACAGCGAATTTATTAAATATCGCAAAGGCTTACTCTGGATTTGACCAATCAAGGCCTGCGGGGCAGAGTAAGGCACCGGTCACTTCATGGTTGAACCCACGGTCGGACTTGACGTTTCGAGAGAGGGGCGGTATGAGCGGCTGTCCTCTTGGCACAAGCCATTCGAGTATGGCAGACTTGAGGGTCTTGGTGTCATCGCCCCGCGCACCAGACGCTCCTTTGCCCATCTAGGAGAACGTGACTACTGATTCACCTTTGAACATGAATGACTTACCAATTCTCCGACGTGAATGACATCCTCCTCCTCGCCAGCCGTCAGCCGCTCTAAAAGACCAGGGTAGGAGTCTATAAGTTCCAAGAATACCCTGTGTTCCCGCCGAACGCTAACATCAAACTGTAAGACACCTGATATTCAACCATGACAATTCCACTTACTCCGCTGGGTAATCATCTATCGGAGAGTCTTGTAATTCTTCTAGCCGGAGTATGCCTCCAGTCAGGAGAGAAGAATAATTGCAAAGCGCAAATACAGTCCGCCCAAAATGCCGACCATGAAGCACAAGGGGATTTGACGAGTTACTAATCAGGACAAGTCAGGAAGGGTGCATTTCAGCACGTGAAACATCACTTACGCCTTTTTGCGTGGGCCCATGCGAAGTGCCGAACCAGCACGTTTGCGCGAAGAACTGCTAGGAGAAGGATCATTCTCGTCACCACTCATACTGGGTTGGGGACAAATTCGAATCTGATATGAGCAACAAATGAGAATTTATATGTTCGAGCGCGCCATCAAGATCGAAACGAGAGGGAGCTGTGACACCCTGTGCCATCAGAATCAGGATACGAGTGGAGTGACGTCCTAGACGCCATCAGGATCCGAGCGGAGTGACGTCCTAGACGCCATCAGGATCCAACCGAGACTGAACCCTGTCGTCCTGGCGCTATAAATGGTTTGGATGGCGCATTACGACACCTCCCAGTGTCGTGAAACTGGCCCGCAAATTATATGTATATATAGGGTATGAGAACCGGCACTGTTGCAGCTACAATCAGCAACAATTCCCATATCATGCAAAGCAACGCACAGGTAGAACATCAGACACCAGGCTCGCTCTCTCAGCAGCATTTGCGACAATGTATTCTCGTTGGAACTACTGTTACCCTCAGGCAAGTCCTTCAGTATTGCACGTAGTACAAAACTCATACAAGATTCACTTACAGCTTCCCAATTTGCTCGGTGCATTTGCATAGTAGCTCTGATGTCGGCACTGATTGCAAGTAAGTGATAAAATTACAGAAAAACTCAGAACAAGACTTACCGTGCAAGGGATATCAAAACAATGAATCACTCAGAGCAACGCAGACTATGAGTGAGAATTTGATATCCAGATGTGTGCATCGATCTAATGGGAAAAAAAAACATCTAGGCACCAGCGAACATTGTACACGCGAAGAAGTATCCGAGCTGCATCAAGTGAGAAACCAGCTAAAAGAAGCGAAAGAGAAAATCAAGCACCTCGGGGATAGGGTGATAATGTACAGGTACAGATGGTTGGAGGAGTACTACCGCGCCGACAACCTCGAGCGTCATATGCCCAGTGGTGTCCACGTACCCGGCCTTGCTCAAATACCACAAGGTACCTCGTCTCCTGGCCTCTGCCCAGAGTTCTTGGTCGGGGATAGTATGTGAGAGATTCGGGACTGGAGGAATCGAATGAGGGCGCTTGTGGGAGGACGTATTCTGTGCCGAAGTTTAGATTCATGACTACTCCAGTATAGTATTGATACATAGTCTATCACATCATGCTTTGTGCCTGTTCTACAAGACATATCTGATCAAAACGCAGGGTAATACTACTTGTAGGCGAAATAGCAACCTCGGCGCTATTCTTCTTCACATTACATTTCGTGACAGTAAATATATGTCCGCGAGAATCCCCTTCCAGAACAAGGACCTGTTGGTTTTTTCTGCGGGGAGGAGCTGGGCTCAGATCCTTGGCGGGAATGTGGTAGTGTTGAAGTGCAGCCCCTGCATTACTGGATGTGCAGAATACAGCGATACAATCTTCAGGTGCGGGTCCGTTCGCACCGCAGAAGGGGTCAGGACAAGCCGTGAACACAAATCGTTTGTGTAACCTCCCTCCCATGAAACCTACTGCGACTTTCAACACTGCGTGATGCAGAAGGAGCATCGAGGAATACTCCTTGCCCATTAACCAGGGTAGAGGGCCTTCAATACAAAAAGATAAGCAAAAGATCTGATTGCTCCGTAGAATGCTCACCACTGTCTGTGAGTTTGTCTGCTCTGGTGTCAATATCATCTTGGGCGTCCTGGGGATCGACAGTCCAGGGGTCAAGTGTCGACGAGCTGGGTGTGATGCTCGACGATTCATGATGCGCAGGATTCTCTGGGTCGGCGGTCCAGGAAGCCCACGACGACAGGCTACTAACTACGCTGGTGGAAGAACTGGCTGGAAGCTGGACAGGTGGGGGGGTAATGCTTCGCGGCTGCATTGTTGTTATGTACGAGCTTTTCCGGATTTTACAGAAGGAAACCAAATCTGGTCCTTCCAGTATCGCCCCATTCATTCTCATCCCATAACTAAGAGTCATAAGCAATTTAGTCGCTAAGAAAATATGCGCAGCACCTACCTAGTGACGACATCATCACGTGTGAGAGTCATACGCGCCTGCCCATGCACAGCGACTGTGCAAGTGTTGGAAGCGATGCTGTATAGCGTGGCTCGGTAGCCCTTCCGATCGCCCCCAACAATGAAAACTTCTTGGCCAATGATATTATCGAATGAATCCAACTTCGCGTTGCATACCTTTATCACGAATCTGATAGGGACGTTGATCTGTCACAAGTGTCAGAAATGCATGCCTCGAAGAGATCGATACTTACGAGGGAGTGATCACTATCAGATAGAAAGGTCAAGCAAGCGTTTGGAAAGTCGACGTTTTGTACAATTCCTTTCCTCTGATACTCCGATCCACGAGCAACACTCACGACATCTCCAGGCCTCACATCGTAGCCCCTTTCCTGTGTGTATTTGAGGGTATCGGGGAGTTTGGTCCGCTGAACGACTGCTACAGGAACTCGAATTCTTGACGGTCCGACACTAGTACCCACATCGTCCCCAGCTAACATAGGGTCTGTATCCCGGAACCATAGCATTGCGCTCCCGGTGGGGAACCACTCCACGATGCCGCATTTCTTCCAGTGCTCGCCCGCAAGCACTTCTATGTGATCTCCTACTTGTATAGATTCGGACTGAGGGGGAGGCTCGAAGCGCTGCTGCATGGATAGCTGCGGGTGAAAGACGTGATGCAAGGGGCGACGATCTAAGTAGTATCTCGAAACAAGCACCTATGAAATGAGTGTTAATGAATCGTAAGATTGTAATTTATGCGTAAAACCAACCTCTTCTTTGGAGACTGCCTGACAAATGTGGAACATATCATCGCTTATTTGAATGATGTGGCCCTCCAGACCCAAGTATGGACCTGCAACGACTCGAATTTCGTCGCCAACATGAAAAATACGCTCTAGATCCTCCAGTCGAACGTCAATTTCTCTTCGATGTCTATCGAAGGTTATTTCCAAGCGCACGGAGCCAGAAGCGTGATCCGTCGAAACGACTGTACCGATCTTTGAGCGAATTTCTCCTGCAATAATCCTGACCAAATCGCCTGTGCGCAAGAATTGCATCGAAAACGCGAACAGTGTTTTCCTGACGAAGGGTGTGTCCCACGCAGACTGCATGTGCAGTTTGATGTCATCAGCATGAGGAGAGGCAACAATTTCTAAGCGATCACGGTGAAATTTTTTCACCAAGAGTCCCATGTAGTATTGTTCGCCTCTATAAGAGCATCCCACAACTTTCCCATCACGGAGAATATCGCGAACGGCCTGGTCATTAGGGAGGAGGCATCGGTCGAGTAGAGCCACAGATCCACCAGGCATGGGATAGGGAAAGTCCCGGAGAGCGATTAAGATGGAGACGAGACCATTAGGTTGATCGGAATCGAAAACGTAGCCTATGTCGCCCTTGTACTTGCCGTATTTGATCCTCACCCACCCTGGGTTAGGAAGTTTGGAGTGTGAGTGTTCAATCGCTTGACGTTCTTCTTCTGAGATTCGAACGTATTGTTTAACGGCGAAACTATGTGAGGGCGGGAGTGATGCTGCGATGGTTCTGGGGCTGTCTGCGACAACATACAACTGGCCTGCTACCCAACCGGACACAGTAACGAGAAATCCTTGACTCCGAAGGTGTTCGGCGATGTAATCTGCGCCATTTCCTGGCATGCAATGAGTGGCATACCACGACATTAAGGATGAACGTACTCTGAATATGGAGAAGGTACATTCTGCCTTCAATCGCCCGGGGGAACGAGGCGGCCTTGCGATGGCGAGCATGGCGCCCTTCTGATGAAGAAGGCGGGTTCTCTTGGATCCTATCGTAAATGTTATCGAATGCTGCTGCCAACCTATCCTTGGCTGATGGGCCAGAAAGGTGTGTGGCTGTCGGCAACCGCACAGAAGGGCCTTCTTCATCCTCTTCACCCTCTTCATCCTCTTCATCCTCTTCACCCTCTTCATCCTCTTCTTTCTCGTCTGCTTCGGTGATGATGTACGGATTCGACTATACGTGTTGTTTTAGTAGCAAAGTCGTCAGAATGATATCACACTTACTCTGAGTGGTTTACACGATTGTTTGATACGAGTGCTGGAGCCTATCCTCGACTACATCTATTTAGTATTCAAGTCATAAGGAATGATAAATACACTTACTTTAGGACGTTGACGCGATCGTTGAACGGGAGTACTTGAGAGGTGGCCGTTCATCCTCGATGAAGACGAGGGCAGAGGCATGTGTCTGGCCTTCAAGGCGTAAAGGTTTGCTAAGGCAATGCTGTCGTCGCCGTCGCCAGAGAACAACGCGTTTCTAGCATCCTTCCAGTCGTCTGCAATGTATCGATCGCCGAGGTATGAAGAAAATGCCTCATCCATCTGAGGATATGTCATGTCGGTAGTGAGGAACTGTTCAAGAATGCACCATGCGCCTTGATCTGCCAATGGCGATGGCGCCGTCCGCAAATTCCCTACCAGACACAGGCTCATGAGTGACTACAATGACGATATTTGATCATGACTCACCGTCATTAGCACTTCGCGCGCGCTTCAAGTTCGACGAACACTCATCATCACTAGAACATGCCGCGCGCTTTGACATTTTGAGAATCTAGTTAATGATAACGTCAATTACTGCAGCACATAACGAACCCAAAGACTCACATGTTACTACGTTATACTCACAATTATCCTTTCAAGACAGCAGCGAAAGAAATTTGTTTGGCAATTTGATTACGGCGGAGTCTTCATAGCAAATAATGTATTTAGACAACGTGTTCTTGCGCGCAGCAACGTTAAACTAAGTACCTCAGACATTATATATAATATTCGATGAGGAGCTCACGCTACATGCTACGTACTGTCCAAATAAATGATAAAAGTCAGAAAGAATTCTAGGTACGCGAGAAGCATTGATATACGGAACGACAATTGTTATTCAAACCCAGTCGGCAATACCCGGTATAGGACGCCTTCACAAACTTAGTATTAATGCTGTAAGGTCACTGAAACATAGATTGCTTATATTGCTCATGCATAGCAGATCAACGGTACCGACTGACCAGGCGTGTCGAGACCCACCCATATTGAGCGCACAATCTGACGTTTGTACAGCTTCGGGATATTGAGACCCTCGTTCAGCAACAAACAGAGACACTGGAAAGCCAAGGCAAGGAAGATGACAACCTTCAAGAGATCCAAAAGATCCTCTACTCGACAGAGGTAGGCACCTCATTTATACTCATCTTCATCTCTCTTTAGCTTATCCGAAACTCGCCGGCCTGAGCAGGATGGTTTCGAAGTTCCTGAGAACGCTCCTGTCGATGAAGAGGAAACTTTCTGATTGTGCATGCCGCTGGAGTATAGGAAGAAGTTTTCGTGTCATATCCTTTTACCCTCAAACCAAATGTTCATTAGCATTCACTTTACATCTTGCACGTTTTCGTTGTTCCATCTCCATGTTCGCCAATCTCTGGCCGTCGCTATTCTGGCCATCACGAATTAGCGCTTCGCTATTTAGTATCGACTTCAATGTCTCACCATTCTCTTCATTCTCTCCGCCTCTGACTTTCCCCTTCTATTGCTCAAAATAAGATGATGCAAGGTGAGTTTAGACGGGGTGGAAATGATCTTTAACTCACTAATTGTTGACCGAAAATAGCCCATTCCTCTCCAACTTACCTGTACTTTCCGGACAAGAACAAAGTCCTGAGGATTCTCCAGCTACCGGTATGTACTATGTATAATAACTTGCACCTTATGGATCAATTGCTGATACTTGCCGTTCAGAGTGATCCGGTTCGGCATCGGCTATCAATCATTGCTTTTCTCTAACTTGTGATTGCAGCACCCATTCGTCGGATTCACGGAGCACTTTCGTCTAATAGGATATCTTGCGAGCACCAACCGGGAGCTCTCGCCCCTTTACGTGAGTTTTGTTCAGAATCATCTATCTTATCTCATCGTGTTGGTTTGCAGCGTGCAGAGCATGTATCGACGAACTCAGAACACAATATTCTGGATATCGTCGGCATACTGGCTGTTCCAAGCCACAATAGAGTAATGTTTTCCGAAGTATATGAAAAGAAGAGGGTGAGATCTTGATTTTAATGGAATTTTGTCATTGACAGAATGGACATAGACCGGCGACGGCGATTTTCTGCGGTTGATCGACAGCGAACTTTGTCGCCCAAATGTATTAGGGTGTACAAGTGTTGTGTGGCCCGTGAGCATTACTTCCGGTGCACAATGTTGCTGAGAAATGATTTTGCTCATCCACAGCTTGGCATGTTGGATTCTTCCATCCGCTTCTATGTAGCACCATTCCCAGATGGATTCTCGCCTTGCAGCCCTCTCGCTGCCAGTGAGGTTGCGCCTTTGAATGACTTCATGATTCGTACCCCTCGCAGTGCCATCCAATCTCACCGCTCTTCCAAATGCAGAATTCACGTCTATACGTTCGCAAAGAGCTAATCTGCAGGCGCATTATTTATGTTTCGACAAGATATTTTGACCGAGAATGTGTTTCACGCTACACTTTGTGTATTTTCATTCGAAACAGTGATTTACTACCAGTGAGAGACTCAGGAACGACATGATCATTGGGGATGAGGTGTGTTGATATAATGTACTATTAATGATAAAGTACTGCCACAGACCTTGCAGCGCAGAGTTTGGTATGAGATCCAAGACTCAAAAACAGTACTCAGCTTGGCCAGAATGACTACGCAGACGCGGAATCGAACGCTGAGTCGGGATTGGCCAGACTAGTGCTTCGGAATACGTTAGGCGGGATTCCAATTTTAGAACTCAACTGATATTTATCATTGTTTAGTCGCTGGCTGAATCTGAATCTCGATCGTCAACATCTAAATTTAGGATTATCGATCAATTCGCGCTCCCGCAAACTACTTTGGGTGATCTGAAAGGTGAGCCCCTTTCTGTCACTTTATTGGCAGTAACGTAAACGAAATTAGATGTCTCGTATGGTACACACAGCGTGCATGGGGCCGTTACCCATCAAAGACAGAAAAATTCTAGTGAGCATTGTTTGTGATCAGTGGAAGTATCTGTACTATGTTTTATCAGACGCAAGTTGGACATATGGATGGACTCTGTCAGTCCGTTCAAATTTTTACTTTCCTGCCGGCGACTTATCGCCTCATCCAGCAACCAAATCAATTTCAACCTCAGACTGTCATCGCGCCGCACTCGCGCCATCTGGCAGCAATCAAGGACGGCTTCGACCGCATCGTGAATAGAGTGAAATCAACGCTTGGGGTGCGTGTTATCATTCTGATTAGAACAATCATCAAGAACGCCCGAAACGCCCGAATTAACTAGCTATAGATCATATCATGATAATGTACATGACGATGTGAAGCCTGAGGGCTTTGTACCACAATACCATTAGAATCAATACCTGCTGTAGCATATCACTATTCAACTCACCACTACTATCCTTTCATGGCGCCCAGTTTGAATATCTATCATCCTGCAACATATACCACTACATACATATGCATCTAGCAGCAGCAATACATTGTGATGACTACCACGCGATAATCGGCTGACATTTCATGTAAGACTACATACAAATCTAACATGCGAAGGAACAATCAATTCAGCGAAGCATCCGTGTGCACGTGACTCCTATGGCAGAGTGATTGCTAATTTTATCATCGTACGTACTGTGCATCTCATCGTGTGAACAACCTCGTGCCAGCACGTTGGCAAGTCGAACCGTCATCATGGCCACAATGGTACATTTTATCTTGAGTTCCATTGAAGCTACTTACTCAATCTGTTATGCAAGATCCCAGCTGAGGGAATTGACCGAGACATTGAGCTGCTCAGTCGCAGTGTTCCTGTCTGGCCGACACAGCTACGGCGGTACACCGAAATAACACTACCATGAGCGTGCATTGCTACTGTGACCGACATTGAGTACTAATTATGTGGTCAACAGCGAATCTTTAGGTCGCGATTACAACGTGCAGAAGATGCAGATCGACTTCGCTCAGTTCGTTACCTTTATTTGTGATAAAGTTGATTTAACTGCGATATCGACAGCCGTGAAGTGCGCGGGCATTGGGAAGAGTTTATTCATCCGTCAGGAGCTATATACCACTACAATGCGAAAAGTGTGAGTACCGCCTTATATTTTAAATTTCATGCTCACTTATTAGCGATAAAGAAAACATACACAGGGATGAACGTGAGGGACTGTTCCAACGAACAGCTCCAGAAGCTCGAATCTTGGATCAAGGTGTCAAGATCCAGACTAGATGGAAAGCCGTGGTTGTTGATCGTCGAGCCGATCTTAGCGAGAGGGAAGGAGATCTACCCGTATTACTACGTGGTACCCGAGAATCGCGTCATTACCTGGATCGAGCCCGTGGATGGCTACCTCCTGTTTCAAGAATGTACAACGGTATGGCACTGGAACCACAAAAGTACGTTACGTTTTTTGTGTATCGATTGAAGTTTATTGTATAGGACTTGAACTGGAGGCCCAATATTGGTGAGCGATGTTCTGACGGAAACAAACCAGAACATTTCTCACTGTTGGAATAGGAAACACGTTGAATATTTTCCGCATGGGATTGAAATTCATCGTTCGGAGGTGAAAACTTTCCGACTGCAATTGAATTGGTATCGCGTAGGTGAGTTGTTTATATTGTAGCGCCAGATGACAATAATCTAATTGACGAACAGAGGCCTTAGCCTTGGAACAATCTATTGCGGGCTCAATATTCTGGACCTTGGAACAAATGAAAGAAATGATTGCTGAGCTAGCTACTGCAGGTACGCACCCTGATTTCAATTTGGGTCTTCAAGTTGATGGCCGAAGGACAGAAGGACTTGCAAGAAGTGATGGAGTCATGGAAGAGCAAGGCGTCGCAATCTGCGGTACGTGAGTCTTGTAAAAACAGGCGATTTTGAACTTATATCGTTACATTCTGGCAGGTAAATTATTCCACATACTCCGTATGATGTCCCTTTCTCATATCAGACGTTGTTGATTGAGGCGCAAAACAGGACATCACGAATATCTGAACCACCATGGCCAACCCGAAGCTCGCTTGATGCGAACACATTCACTGGGTGAGAGGCGCAGAGATCTGGAAAAATCTCCCTTCATCACTGCCGTTGCCGTTGCCATGCTCTGGATCCCAATAATGGTGCTCAGACGACTCCAAAAAATCTACGTTGATGGTCTTGTCAATGGGGTCGACATGAAGGCATTCATAGACGATTTCAGTGCACAAGCTAAATCCCAAACTACGGTTGTAAGTGCTATGTCACTGACCTATGAAGGCGCTTACCGCTTAGGCTGCTAGGCAAGTGTCATCATGGCAGTTAACGCCAGCATTCTTGCCATCCCAGGTTTGGGTTCAACACTTGCTACAAAGACGCTATGCTCCATATCTTTTGTTTTCAGTGTCTACTGCATTATCGCATGCACGATGGCACAACAATTTGGTCAACGAATGCGATCCCTTGACTTTGCGGTTCGACCATTTTCTTATTTCTACCGTCTGAATTTGACATTAGTGCTTGGATAGGCGTATTACCTGCAAGGCAAGATGGCCAGTTTTGTGATTATTGCAAGCATACCAAGTCTTTTATATCTCTCGAGGTAACCAAACATTCGATCTCATTGCTTGTGTTACTCACAGCAACAGTTTGGCCTTTACCATTCTCGGATTTCTCACAGGGATTTTCGAAGCTGAAT